TTTGCTTTTGTTATGAAAACCTCATTTTTATGTTTAAAATATTTAAATTGTATATTAATTTAGCATGTTAGCATGCATTTTAAAAGGCTAGTATGCATCTCCAAAAATTCAGAACATTCTTTTTCATAGCCAAAATTAACTCTAATTCCTTGATATCCAGTCTGTATTCAAAATGTCTATTTTTTCCCAAAGGATCTTTTATAGCTGGTTTGTCCAAACTGGAATCCTGTCCAGGACCAGGTATTGCATCAGTTTGTTGTCTACGGATAAGTAATCTCAAGACACTGACCTGTGGAAGACACTAGGCCTGTTGTTCTGTGGAATATATAACTTACCTGCTTCTTTGTGGTGTTGTTTACTTTGTCCTACATTACTTGTATTTCCTGTAAACTGGAAGTGAAATCTAAAGGCTTATTAGATACCACTCAACAATTTGGGCTGGTATACATCACTTGTGAAGGAGTGTTTCTTGTTCTGTATCACAACAAGAAAGTCATGATTTCTGGTTCTCCTCCTCTGCATCATAAATCATAATATAAATTCTGAAGCTAATTTATTTCATCAAAAAGGTAATAATTACCATATTAACATATTTAGAGATTAAAAAGATATCAGAGAAAAGGAGACCTTTGTATACCATCTTTTAAATCACTAGTCTTCCTTTCACAGGAGGGAAATATTAATATTCCTCCTAGAAATATGTATGCACAGATGATGGGTATTTTCAAACGTCATATGTTAGAAATGTTTCCATATCAGTACTTGTTGATCTTATGTATTTTTTTAATGACTGCATGGTTTATCATCTTATAGATATAATTTAATCCACTAAATATTTCATTGATGGATATTTAGGTGGCTTCCAGACATGTACTTTTACAAAAATATGGAAATAATTTTATGTCACATCCCTATAAATGACATTATTTGTTCAAAGATGTGAATTCTAAATTTTGATAAATATCACCAAATTGCTTTTCACATAGTTTGTACCAATTTATACTTCTACAAAAAGTATGAAAGACTTTTGCCCTACTCCCTCATTGTCTAATTTTATCTTCCCTGATATTGAACAAGGGTCCCTCATTATTAAACAATCCAGGTTTCTCCTCATTGACCTGCAATGCCCCATTATCATATATTAACTTCATATGGATATAGAAATTATAGATCTATATTATATCTGATCTACCATTTTTTAAAATATCAATACAGGTACCCAGTGGTTTTAGCTACTCTAGCTATCTTGCGTATAGTGATTATCTGAGAAGGCACACCTTTCTCCTTCCCTCATTTACCTAATTTTCCCCTGCTGATTTTTTCTCCATATGAACTTGAGCATTTGCATGTCCATTTTCCCTTGATCCTGATGCTGTTTTCCCTTGGGGTTATATTGCATTTATTAATGAATTCAGAGCAAATTATCCTCTTCAAACATTGTGCCTATCTCTCTATGAGCACATATATAGATGGATTTATTTTATGTTGCATCTTACAATAGCATCCTCAAATTTCCTTCAACAGCTCATGTATATTTCTTGTTACCTTTATTTTTAGGTTTAACATGTTACTGAAGGTATAAAAATATTTTTGGTAAGAGAAGTCAGGAAGGCAGCATAAGACAATGACTTATTATTCAATTTTGCTTTACTTTAACTTAGTATGGTTTATATATTCATTTACTCACTCAGTCAGCACATCTTTTTGAATTCTATAATGTGCAAGGTACTGAAAGTATAAAATAGATCCTTTCTTCAGTGATACTTTCAAAACAGTTGTGGAGTACATATAAAAATGAAATCACTTGTATATAACATTTTTAATGAGCCACTTTACAGAATTCTTCTAATGGAATAATTTTTCAGATGAAAAGCTTATAATTTCTAGTTATACAACCATTTCATCAGCATAAAATTATAATTTTATCTTTGCTTTCCCAATATTTATAATTTTCTAAATGTATTGTCTAGTATTACCAAATTAAGGTAATTAAGAATGGGGGTATTGAGCCTATTTTCTTTTGGGGCACAACTATTAAATTGGAGTTGGAATCCCATGGTTTGAAATACTTTTCCACAAGGTATTTTTACTATTATCTAAAATGTCCTCCAATGACTATATAAATTTTGGAGTCTTTCAGTGTAGGAACTCTATCTCGAGAACTTTTATTGGTTACCACCTTGATTTTTGAAAGTTTTATCAATTTCTGTCTCATCAACATCTTATTCCAGGCCATTGCATTTACTACACCCAAAATGTAACATGGATGGCTAAGAAATCTGGGATGACTGTTGTCCTATTAATAATGCTCAGACTAGAAGTCATTCAAGCAATGAAACACACACAATGAAGTTGTTCAGTACTTCTCTTGAACACACTTTTCAGTGTCTGCACAATATTTCATCAAGTGGGTATAATCTACATTATTGTTCAGGTCAATCTTCATGCAGTATCTCATCTTCTCATGTCCTTTCGGTCTACATATCTTGTTCAAATTCATTTTTCCTTGTTATTTTTCTTATTTACACCTTCAATACATGTCACTTCTGTAGCTAACAAATTCTGAACAATATGTTTTAAATATATATGTGTGTATGTGTTGTGTATGTGTGTGTGTGTGTGTGTATAGTCAATGAAAGGCTGATTAACCTCTCTTTCTGGAAGTCTAAATGAGCTATTCTTAGCTAACATGAACCTCAAATGATTTTCATTTTTCATGGGTTAAGAGATATGTAGATTTAAAAACACTTTGTTACCACTTACTGTATGTAAGTTATGTTTGCTTGCTACACTACTTCTAAGCTGTATGGCATGAAATTGGATGAAGTTTTTCATTTTGTTGGTGCAACCCAAGGACAAGATTCAGAGTGAAAGGTGGCTCCCCTTTCTGATATAGCCTTAGCTCTTTCTCTTCTCCCAATGCCATGTAATGCCCTTTTCACATAATCTTAACCTGCTAAGCAAGCTGTTATTGTGTGTGTATCCATTCCTGCAGTGTGGCATTCAGGGCCACGTAGTAAAGTTAAGCACAGGCTTTGACAATGCAGTGTGCCCAGAAAAGAGTCATCATGTGAATGAGAGGATTGGAAACCAAGTCACATACTTATATTACACTATATAACATGCAACAAGTGCCTATTCTATGCCAGGCGCTGTCCCTATGTATCTTGTTATCTTACTCAATCCTCATAGCACTCCATCATTTCACAGATGAGGTAATTAACAAAAATGTTAGCTGTTCAATGTTGCATAGCAAGTACAGGACAAAGTGTCTTAAAAACTATAACTTAGGTAAGAGGATATGAGGAAAAGTAAGTATATGGAAGTCGTAAAGCCTGTATTTAAATTTTTGAAGGGCTATCATATAGAAGCCATAAATGTGCTCTATGGGTGCACAAAGTTTACACTGGACCAACAGGTGAAAGTTGTTGATAAGTGGATTTCTGGTTAATATATATGCTCAGCGAAGTAAGTCAGAAAGAAAAATAAAAATACCGGATGGTCTCACTCATAGCAGGAATTTAGAAAACCTAAATAAGAGACCAGGAAAAAGACTAATCAATACAAAATAAAATCAAAATCAACAAGCAACTATAAACCAGAGACACGCTACCAGGGATGGGGGGGTGGTGAGGGAGGGGCAGGGAAAGGAAGGACTAGAGTCAAAATAACAGGGGGGGGGGTGCAATTGTATGGGAATATAACCAAAATGAAAATGCATACATTGTGCAAAGATGAAAAAAGATGTAAGAATGATATAAAATAAAATATTTAAATAAAAAAATATACAGACTAACTTTCAAAGAATGAGATTTATCTTAACAAAAAAAAAAAAAAAAAGTGCTGTTGAGAGGTAATGAGTTAATACTGGAAAAGTCCAGACACCAGATGGGCCAATATGGGATGCTGACAAAGACATTCAGGCATTTAGTGGTTTGGATTAGTCACCCTCAGGAATACCTCAGGTCTTAAGATGATGATAAATGAGTCACTCTAATTTCCAGTAAGGTGTGATTGTATAGACTGGGTAAAGTGGCAACATTTAATGTATTACAAGTTGTCTACATTATAGAAACAAGCAACAGGATTGAAGGGTCGATTCATATTAAGCAGAGTTCATTTTTAAAAACTTTGAATTCTGCAACAGTAAATTTGGATAGATTCTAATAAAAAGCAGCAGCTATGTGTACTACTAGAGGAAATATAGTATAATGGTTGTAAATCTGGATTCCAGAGTCAGACTATATGGGTTCAAATTCTGATTCTACCATTTACTACTAATTATGTGACCTCAGACAAATTGCTTAGCTTTGTTATACCTGGTTTCCTCATATGTAAACTATTGTGTAAAGACACTATCTCATCTTTTTTTTTTTTTAAGATTTATTTATTTTTTTTTTTTAAGATTTATTTATTTATTTATATAAGCACTGGGTACAGTCAGAAGCGTGGGAGGGTGAGAGAATTCACCAGAGCCAGAGTGGGGAATAGAGCAGGCAGACCAATGAAATACACTGCTGAGGGGAGCAGCAGGCGGCAGGAGAGGTCTGCGCACCATGTGGGACCCTCGCCCGGTGGCCAGGGATTGAACCGGCACTGCAGAGGCTGCAGGCAGCTTCGCAGCCCAGTGCTCAACAGCTGCACCACCAGGGGAGGCCCCACTGTCTCATCTTTTAATCCCTGTAGGGATCAAATGGGTCTCTTTCTTTCTCTAAATATATCTCTATCAGCAATATAGAGATATTGATATAAATATGTAGAGAGAGGGGAAAGGCAAGAGACTGGAACATAATAAGGAATAAATGTTTGCTATTATTTATTCTAAAGAATGCCCCCTGAAATTTCAGATATTCAAACAATATAAAAAGTGAGTAATTTTTAATTTTATTGTCACAAATTGAGACATTGTTTTGAAAAAATGGAGAGAAACTGACATGTAGCAAATAACAGAAAAATAAGTCAAAGAACAAAATTTAAAATTTGACTTTTAAAAAGGTCTTCTGAAATAGCTTCTCTGTTTTTATTTATTTTAAACAATCAACAATAAGTGTTTCTTTGAGTATTAAGTCTAAGCACAACCCTAATTACTTTAAGGGAATATGTAAAAATTTTATTACATTATTCTTTCCATAGTTTGTAGTCTAGCTATTTGTAGTTATAAAAACACATTATGCCTTTAAGTAAAATCATCTTTGAAAGTAATCACTTTGGGAGGTTATAGACTTATTTCAATAATCCAAACACTGCTCCAAACATTTTTTGCATCTTTTCCTTTGAGATTGTATATGGAATCACTAATACAAATCATTTAAGGAAAGCAGTCTCATGGCTTTAGTTCTGAATTTTGTTTACTTTTTCTCATGCATGTAGCTTAGTCACCTGAATAATCACAAGGCTTGATTCTCAGGGATTGCTGGTTATTTTAATGTTTCAAAATCACCCTAAAAGACAAGTTTTGCTATTCTTGATGATCTTCAAAAAGATGTGTAGTAGCATGACTGGACAGTAGATACCTGGAGGACAGGGACTTTTATCTCTCACCTTGGCATCTGCTGTGTGTCCAGTTCCTCATTTAAGCACAGTGACAGTGCAGTACGGGGTATTGAATAGAACTGAAAGGCACGTGAGCTGTTCAGCAGCTGGAGATGGCAGCTATGCTGAGGGTTAAGGTGAGGAAAAGGCTTTAGAAGGGAATTGAGGAGATTCTTTTCTGTTCTGTTATTTCAGTGTTTCTTTTACTACTCCTTAGGCATCAGGTTTTGACAGCGAAGGACAAAAAGGTCTGCCTGATGCTGGCAGTAGGTTCTCCCAATACTCCCTTTTGGCCCTGCATTAAGATAATAATAATTAATTAAAAGAGTCCTATCTACTTTATAAGTCCAATATGTTTTTATATACAATACTATATAATTATACTAGTATATATACTATATATAATATATAAATACTATATATCATTATACTATATAGTACATATATGTACATATTAGTGTATATATTTAGATAAATAAAACACAGACATACACTCACACATATGTACACATATATGCTTGCCAAATACATACAAATTTGGTGAATGATCAGGCTCATGTAGATCTTGTGCTTCAACAGAGAAAAAAATGTCCAGATTCACTAATTCCAGGGGTGTATTTCCCATTTCTACTTCAATAATAAATCGGTTTCACACCAAATTTCAGAAAGAGAATGTTTTTAAATATTACATGTTTTTGTGAATTACATTCATTCTGAAATTTCTAGCAGTTTCTTTCTAATGCTACTCAATATTCTAATGTAATGACAAGTATATGAAGATGGTGTTTAATGTAATGATATTAGTATAATTCTTGAAAAAATAACTATAAACAGATTACAAATTTGTCTGTATTTGCTTCTTGTTTTTAAACAAAGAAAGAAGAGTACAAAGGGTGGTCACAGTCCCTTATGTTAAATATATTTTAAAATATTTTTTCTACTTATGAAACAATGAGTAAATCAATATTTTAGGATGATGAAAACATTAGTGTTTCATCAGAATAATGTCTTATCTTTAATGGCATTTTAAGGATCCCTAGGCAGTGATAATTAAAACAAGCCATTACTCACTTATTTGAACTATTTCACAAAAATCATCACCTAAGTTGCTTTCTTCTCTTTTTAATCTGTTTGTATGTAGTATTTTTTTCTATGTACAATACCTATGAAAACCACCTTCTTTGGTAAATATATCACCTTGAAGAAATGTTTGGCTAAATGCTTTCTTCTCTACCTTTCAAATCTTTTGTAAATATATACAAAAGATTTTTAAATACTGCTTTTAAATAATTTTTCAATACTTTAGGAAAGTTATTCCAATTAAAAAATGAAGATTGTTCTAAAGTCTGAAGTGGGTAAACACATGCAAATGAATTAAATACAATCACAACACTTAATGAAGAGAAAACTGCAGAGATTGTGAGTGGTTTCTAGGGTGTAGTACTATATGGGCAGGGAGAGGGAGAGGGATAGAGAGGGAGCAAGAGAGAGAGAGAGAACAGTAATTTAGGGGACCTAGGAAAAATGTTTTCAATAATAAAGATGATTGATTCTAACAAATGGTATAATATAAAAATTGTAAGACCTTCAGGAAGGTGAAAGCCTACTCTTTCAACAGTGGCAAAAGAAGTTAATTAGAAATTCCTGCACAGTCAAATATTGTAAAAAGAAAGTCACAGTCCAAGCATGAAGCAAATTAAGATATAGCATGACTTTGGACTATAGATGAAATGCAAGAGAAGAGAATCAATTTGACCTTGATGACCTTGAACATTCTCCTACAAGTAGCTTAATTTTTATAAAATAGGATTATTTCTCTTTGTCCATAGTTCCATGCTTACACTTGGTTCTGCAGTAAAAAAAAAAAGTTTAGAAAATTATTACCAGTATAGCAGGATATTAGATTTGAAATGTAACTGGAGGCACCAAAATATGATAGCTATTAGGTATCAAAGCAAGTGAGATATTGCAGAAAGAGCCAGTCAGATGATTTGCCTGAATCAACACTGGAAAGTCTAGATCACAGAGGCCAGCTACTTTGCTTGTGAGTGAAGAGGGTGCAGTTAAATTGGGATCAGATCAAATTCTTAGAGTCTGCATAAAAGAAGGGCAAAAGATCCTTTAGCCACTTTTGAACCTAATAGGAATAAGTGAGCCATCCTTGAGGTATTTAACATCTGGCACAAGAGAATCATGAGGAAGGACAATCTGCTTAAAAAATCCAGGACCTGAGGGCAAAGCAGCAGTCAGAAAAAAATGCAATGATTGTGGCATGTGAAGTAAAGACAGAAGTTCTCAGTGGAACCATTGGAAGAATCTGCCAGGCATAGTAAAGGGAGTCTTCCTATTAGGATGTCAGTAAAGTAATAACAGTTTTCTCTCCTTACATTCTCTCTCCTCTCACTTTGATACTTGAAGAGGTCAGAAACCATGGGTAGCAAGATGGGAAGCAGGGGTTGGAAGCAGGAGACAGAGAAAGACACTAAGTCTTGCCTTCCCTGGCTTTCTGTCTCTACGGGAAGACAGAAGATTTATGCTGGAAACATGTTTCAAGTTTTGATTATACATGGAACCGAACACTTTTAAAGGCTGAATTGGGACTGCTAAATCAAGTGATCATGGGGCTTTCTATTGCCTAAGAAGACCTAAAGAAGTCCTGACATTTGTCAGTATTTTCAAACAGGGACAAGGGAAGGAATTCACCCACTGAGCAGACTCAAGGAGAAAAAAAACCTGCATTCTGATATATTTCATGAATCCTGCTTATTTAATATGACAATGATAACATTATGTTATTTACTATTATGTTATGATATGACCATGATAATATTATGTTTTACATTTTTATAATAAACCTACAGACAAAGCTTAGAAGTCTTACATTTAGAAGAGTTACATTTACAGAGCAGAACACTCTGGTTATAAACCTTCATGATATAAAAGTAATGAAGCCAAGAAGTAAATGAGAGAGGAAAGGTAGAGGGAAGCAGGAGTCAATTCTTTCCTTACAGGGAGTGGCATCATGTTATACTGCCTCATTGTGGTGGACTAAGAAATAGGTGGTTAGCTATGAAATTCAAGATTATAAAAATAACTAACAGAAGAAATAAAAATGGAATGAATCAAAATTGGGAAAAGGAGAATAGGAGGAAAAGAAGAAGATTATGTGATTTAAATTCCTCAGCTTTCATAAAGGGTAATGACCATCTTAAATTGACAAAACAAGACAGATAGAAGACTTCAAAACACAAAGGACAGATTCAGTTGGGAATGGGACTGATGTCAGAAGGGGGAAGTTTTTACTTTTAATTTTTATACACTCTGATACCTTTTGAGTTTTTATAACTGTGTATGCATAATGTTTAAAATAAGTAAAGTGAGATTAAAGGAAGGCAATAATATTGATTTAGAAAATCCTACCTGGCTCTAATCCAAGGTTTGGTATGCATGTCCAAACCACTTCCCCAGCTGCCATGCTTTTCTGAAGCTGGTGGCAAAAATCCCCTTTCAGGGGCCAGCTCCTCTGCAATAGCCCGGATATGATAGGGCTCAAATCCACAGCATCCGCCAATGTACCTGATCCCCAGGTTGTAGGCCTCTCTGGCATATTTATGAATATCCCATCTGGTTGCAACTCTAGGCTCCAGTGCTGTAACACAATAATTATAACATTTCTGTTACTGTCTCTATTTTCTATTGAAAGATACTCTGGTGGGACCTCCCCTGGTGGCACAGAGGTTGAGCACTGGGTTGCGAGGCTGCCCACAGCCTCTGCAGCGCTGGTTTGATCCCTGGCCAACGGCGAGGGTCCCACAAAAAAAAAAAAAAAAAATGCTCTGGTGGTTATTATTGTTCAATTAAAAAACTACAAACTTTAGATTATGCATTCTATTATGCATTCTTCAGATGGCTCATTTTTGGTTAACAATGAATGCTTTTGTTTATACAGTCTAGTATGTCAGACTAGACCAGTAAGTAAGTTATTTACTTACTATAGTTGCTTCCATTTTGTTGCAACAAGAAATCACAGGGACCTCCCATATGCACCCGAGCTTACCAAAGGGATATTCAGGGAGATCCACAAATCCTCCCTTGTTGCAGTCAGGTGTGTGGAACCCTAAGGACTGCACCATAAAGTGTGCTTTCAACCCTGCAGCCTGGAGGCCTTCCTTCATCAGCTCCATTGTCTTCAAACTGGTCCTGGGCCCAAAGCGGCAATTGACCCCAATGATCGAAGCCCCTAGTCAAAGAAATATAGAAATTCGCAAACTAAGAAAGAAGGAGACAGACAAATACCAGATGGTGTCACTTATATGTGGAATATAGAAAAACTAGACATCTTATTTATTTGCTTGTTTTTAATTTTTTAATAGTTGGAAATTGCCTTAAAGATTAACTCTTCCCCTTCACTTCCCAAGCTTCATAGATAAGGAGACTGTTAAAGTTTATAAACAATGACTGAACTGCTTATCACATTGAGCCCAAATTACCTGCCTTCACCAGCTTCACAGCACATTCTCCGGGGGTCACGCCATGCATGTCTCCCTCTGGGCCTATGCACATCGTCACTGCCACTGGTTTCCCTGATCCTTTTAAGACTTCTACAGCCCACACAGCTTCTTCAGCATGATCAAAATACTAAGAGAAATTTCATTTTTTTTTTAATGGTCCAAATATAAAGCAGATTTTGAATGACAGAATACAAATATTGCAAAACAGTTACAAAAATGACCACATATATATATATATAAGATATGCTAAGAAATGTATTTTAGCAGATTTTTTTGAGTAAGTAGTTGAGTTTTTTAGCAATAATATACAGATTTTTATTTGTGAGCATTGATTCAGTAAAAAGATGACTGTTACTGAAAAAAAGAGAAAAACCACAAAGTTTTAAAAACTGAGTATTTAAAATCGTAATTTGATATACAAAAAATAAAATTGGATTCATCCTTTATGGAACTGGGATAACTTCTGAAAAATAATGAATAGTTTATCATGCTTTACACTCAAAAGTGTTTTTATATTCATTGCTAGATATTCACAAATAATCCTTAAAAATAGGAAGGCTAGCCCCAGAGAACATTAAAGGACAGAGTGGAGAGGGTTTAGCTACCCAGTTTCTTTGCTGGTAACTGAAAGGACGCCTTGTCTGGTAAACCCATGGTGCTTTACAGGAACCCCCTCAAGTATGACAACTGAAAATCTGACCTTAAGTTTAAATAGAGAAAAGCCAACAGAAATCTCCTTGGTTTTTTCCTTCTTAATTTAGAGACAGATTCCGTAGATGCAATGTGTGAGGAATGATAGAAAGAATCAAATAGAGGTTCTTACAAAAGCAAACTTGTATTCTCATCCATCTGGGGAATACATAGAGCAGAGTTTGTGTTTGTACCTGCAGATGATTGCTTCAAGGTGGGTTAGCTAGGCTCGTGTCACCCTGAGCCGAGGGAAGGCAAGATTTCAATGGAGCAATTGGGGAAATACAACTGCAAGGCTCTTGTCCTTGTTAGGGTAAAGACTTGTCTTGACAACAAGTAGTAGTAATTGTGATGGGAAATGGTGTTTTAATTTTGGGAGGTGGAAGGAAAAGAATGTTTTAGGTCTTCACGCACTAGGCTTACCTCTGCAATCAAGAAGTCCACATTTTTCCTGATAAAAACCTCTAACTAGAGTTGAAAAAGTTTTTTAATCCTAGCTTCATCCTTGTGGTGTTTGTATGTTGCTGTGTGGCAATTCATACTGATTCTTTCTTCAAAATATCACTCATATGTTATTGCCCAAGTAAACACAGAGAGGTGGGAGTGAGTGGAGGAGAGCCAGGGAACTACTGAGGACCAAGTGTTAGTGGTGGGTCTGGATGAGTCTGAGTATCTACCCACAAACTAGGCTTTGCTTCCTTGTGACCTCTAGCCCCAATCACACATTTCCATCCTGTCCTGTCCCTACCATGGGACAGGATGATCACTGAATCACTGTCCCCTTCCTTTCACCCCACATTGTTGGGCCTCCTGAGAATCAACTGCTGCAACTACCCAGAACTTAGAAAACCACAGGGGAAAGTTAGACCTCTCCTGGGTCTGTCCTTTGACTTCAACAGGAACCTAGCATACAAGTGAAAGGGTGTTGGCCTTGACTATAGTGCATTTAAACAAACCTTTGACCATCTGCACAGAATAAATGAGGGCACAAGGCAGTCCAATACCCTCATGAAAGTTGAATACTATGCAGTTATACTTGCCAAAACAGGCTTCATCCTTTCCCTGTAATACGAGGCTTACCTCTGCAATCAAGAAGTCCACATTTTTCCTGATAAAAACCTCTAACTGGAGTTGAAAAAGTTTTTTAATCCTAGCTTCATCCTTGTGGTGTTTGTATGTTGCTGTGTGGCAGATTCCCGCTGCTACCAAAGCATCACCTTTGTCGGCCACTTCTCTAGCAAGGTCACAGGCAACAGCATTTACATCTTCCCACTGAGGTTAGAGAGCAAGAGTTGAGATGGTGGACTTGGTATTTTAAAGGTAAAATATAATAGATAACAAAGGGGTGAATGAGCCAATAAGAGGAGTATAAATTTCTAGTTTAAACAGCAATATGAGAAGACCAGCAGAATTGGGTACCGCCTCCTCTCCTGCCAGTGAACTTTGTATTTCCACGATTGTACTGACTACTCTGGATTGTAGTAAATGTTTATTTGTTTGACTTTCACACTGTGAGCCTCTTCAGATAGGGTCTATGCTTTTGTACCATCTTTGCATCTAGCACAGAGAATGGACTATAATACATACTCAGTAAGTGTTTGGTTGAATGATAAATGGGCATTAACATTTACAGTATTAATACCTTATATTTACAGAATATTTTGCAATACTTCCACATCCTTCACCTTATCCATTTTTTTTTTCTAAACAACCTTATGCATGCAAGCATAAGTTATCTCCATTTTGCAGGGAAAAAAACAATGTTCCATGCAGTTGTGTCTTGCACAAAGTCACGCAACCAATAGGTGGCAATGTTGGGTGTCAAAGCCAATTCTTTTCATACCCAGCCCGGTGTTGTGTTCCCTAGAACCACTCTGTCTCCAAAGGAATAAGAAGAAATATGAAATACAGTGGAAAGAGTATTTATAAAGTGTTCTTTCTCTGCAGAAAAAAATAGCACAGGAGCATGGTAATGCCCTTTTGATGAGTTATTCTTCCCAGCTCTATTCTCTCCTATCTCCCCTAGTTAAAAATAAAGAAAAAACACTTATATATGTAAAATATAATACTTTATATACCTGTAAATTAAACAGTTACAGAAAAGATACTTTATAAGTAGTAACATATCAGGTCAATTCCACAGCTCCCATCCAGAGGTTATTTTTATTACCCCTGATCTTCCTTCCCACCCGCCATCCCAACCCCCACCCCCAACAGTTGGCATTGCAGTTTACCTTACTTTCCATACTGTCCTCACTGGCAGAAAAAGTGAAAGTCTGCATGACATTTGCTCCTGCTCTTAAGAATTCCATGTGAAGCTGATGAACTACAAAATAGTTGTTTTCAAAATTGAAATTAAAAAAATTAAAATCATAGAAGCTAAAATCATAAAATCATTTTCAGCAACAGGTGCTTCTTTACTCACATCTCTTTCAATTATATACAATTTCAAACTTGGTAATTATAAAAAATTGCATATAAAATTCAGTAAAATCCAAGGATAATACATGGCAGAGTCCCTAAATAGGGGCTCTATGTAGCGGCCTCATATTGCTCTGCTGGTGGATCTCTGCAGTCACCTGCAGAGACTAAGATCTGGTTGGCCAATTGCCCATCAGTCTCATTGTCTAGAGAGGGTGTATCCATTTACCAGTATCTTTAAAAATGTAGCAGATTTACTTATAGTCAGAGCTGGGCCCTCAGAGCAGAATGAAGAAATTGTCCTAGTGGGCAGAATGCATATGGGTCGAGATTCATTCTGGAAGCAAGCAGCTGGGGAGATATATTCTGGAAGATTTCCCATTTAGAAAGTCTTTCCTCTCTCTGTCTAATCACCACTTCCCCCAACAACCCTCCTTTGCTGTTTCAATACTTTCTTCCTGATTTAGCAAAAAGGTATTCTAAAATTAAGGAAAAGTTCCTCTTGGGCAGATGAAAACTTCCTGCTAAGCACCAGAGAGACAAACCTCATACTATAAAATTCTGGTGTCTGATGAAACAGTAATAATGGCTATCCAGAACTGAGGATATACTAGCCTGTGTCATATCCCCATGTGACAGATGAAAAAACTGATCCTTGGAAAAGTCAGTTTCTTGTCAGTGGGAGACCAAGACAGCACCTCCGCTTTGTTGGATACATTACACTTATGTGAATGAAATTGATCGAATCAAAAGTTCCTCTCCCAGCTTATATCCTGTTTCACATTTCATTCTTTGTCTTTATTTTCCATTTTAGAAGAGTGAACAAATACACAAAATAAGTAAAAATAGAATTAAAATTCCAATTTGACGTTAATCACCAATCTTACACAATTATGACCTTCAACTGTTTTTTCAGCCAGGAGGAGGTAAAGCTGTTCTCTCTCTCTCTCTCTCTCTCCTCTCTCTCTCTCTCTCTCTCTCTCTCACACACACACACACACACTCACACACACATACACACACACACACCCCAGAACCTGGCTGTTTATTGTCTATGCTGTGAAGATGGTGATTACCATCAATCATACTTTCTAGTCACACTAATGCAAATTAGTCAGAAGGAGGACTCTGAAGCAATAACAGTTTCACTGAGTTCTATGTCAAGGAAACTTTTGAATGTCCTCAAGGTAAATATTCATGGGAGAAATATTAAGATATGTATTTTAGCACTCTCTAAGAGGGGATTCTCGAGAAAGAGAGCGCATGAGAGAGCGAGAGCATGCCCTTTGCTTCAGTTCATATTCTGTTAACATCTCCACTTCCTGGCAATTTTGCCAAGTGAACCAGTCAGAAAATACTAGTTACTAAAACTTTCTCTTAGGTTTAAGGAAGGCAAGCATTCTTGGTGATTCTGGCACTGACCTGCCTCTGGATGTTCTACTACTACTTCTGGAGTCCAGAGCCCAGCCTTCACATAGCCCCTCTTCTCCAGAGTGATGAGAAAGCTGCCATCTCCAACCACAACCTCCCCACTGTCCAGGCGTTCCAAAATACCCTGAAAAAGAAAGGGAAAAAATCACCTAAACCCATTCCCTTTCTTTTCATAATTTTAGTAAAGGTGATACTATGTTTTATTTTGCAGCTTCAGCTCTGTTAAAATTATCAGTGTCTAAAAAGCAAAGATTTTTAAAAAGATTGAGTATGTCTTGGATAATCCAGGTACTTGTTTTGGGTGATCAAAGTGATGTGACTTTTTTTTTTAAAGATTTATTTTTATTTATTTATTTATACAAGCACTGGGTACAGTCAGAAGCGCGGGAGGGTGAGAGAATTCACCAGAGCCAGAGCGGGGAGCAGAGCAGGCAGAAGGACGGAAGTACACTGTGCGCCTATGTGACTTTTTTTTAAAATTAAATGAACATTTAGTGTGAGTCAAATTATAGTGAAAATACTAATTTCATGAAAAATTATTTTGTTTTTTTCAACATATGAGGGCAGATTCTGCTAGCTGCCTAATTAATATGCTCTGTTTGGAGTAGGCTGACCAATGAGACATAGGTGGAAGTTTATTAAAGATTTCTGGAAGTGTTGCTTTTCTGATACAGATGCATACTCCCTTCCATCTTGCTACTTCTTATCCTTCCTAACTGGAATGTCAGCATAAGTCCTGGAAACCTAGCAATCAGCTTGCGGTTATGCCATCAAAAGCATGCTAAGGCTAGTGGAGAGCCCTGGTTTCTTAATGACATCACTGAGTAGCTGCAGCAGCTATGGGCCCCCAGACCTCTGGCTAAGTGTGAATAACCAACCTCTTTTTGTGTGTGTGTAAAATACAGAACATAATCCTAATGGACACACGTTTTATAATTATGCCCCACATTTTCCAGCATGTCGGAGAATATGTTATTACTGAGTATTCCCAACAACTCTGAGAGCTAGTCAGGGGAGACAGTTTTCCTCACCATTTTATAAATGAAGAAACTGAGGCTCAGAAAGGTTAAATGACTTGTTCAAGATCAAAAAACTAAGTAAAAAAGCAGACTTTTTAGACTCTAGAAGAGATCTTCTAAATACCTAATATGACCTTTTTCTATTTCCCTACCTTTCTATTCATCCCATCCATCATTTAAATAAGGGGTTGTAATCAGATCCGTTAGTAATGAGATTGATTTTCCTTGTCTAAAACATTCCTTTCCTGGATACCCACACCAGCTTACCCTCTCACTTCATTCAGGTCTTAGGTCAAGTGCCTTCTCAGAGATGCTTTTCCGGACCGCCCCATTCAAAACCGCAAACACCCACATGTTGATCCCCATCCCTGTTGTTCAGACTGCCTTAGTTGATTGTTAAAAATACAAGGCTAGTTCATTTCAGGCCTGTCAACAGCTAGACATAAAAGACGATATGGATGGGGAAGAAAATCTCCAGCTGTCCATTCTAGCCAGTCATATCTGCAGTCAAGTAAGGTATATTAGAAGGGATTTCAATGAAGACTGAGCACCAGGTCACCAGCCCCACGACATCTTCATTTTGCGTTAGAGGTGCACTGGAGCCCAGCTGGTTAGCTGTGTTAGCTGTGTTTCACAGAACGAACTCCTGATTTTAGTTATTTCCCCCTATTTTTATATCTAATAGTGAATTTTAGCTAAATGTGAACAAAATGTTCACATTTACTATGAATCTCACCTATCTCTGTACACTCCCTCCATCAAATGCTATTCATTGTTTCCATTTTGTACATTTGAAACATACAAAAGGACCTCAGTTTTAAACTTTCCACAAGGCCTTCCACCTGGCAGATAACCCCTATACAAAAGGGATAAATGTTGGACTAAGACAAGATCTCTGCCCTCAAAAAACTCAAAGTCTGGCTAGCCTGGCAAAGACCAAGAGATAACAAAACATCACAGCACAATGTAATAAATAAGGCTGCAGAGGAATACAGAGGAGAGAAGCAGAGGTATAGTCATCTTTATCAATCTTCATCTGAGAAATCTAACACAGTTGAATTAAGTTAAATGTTAAGAATCAAATTCAATCGTACACATCAAACAACTTTAAAGGGGAAAAATATTGACACACAATTTGGGTGTTATAGGTTAGACTCTCACTTCCCACAACCAATCTGTCACAGGGTTACAGTGACAGTCCTGTTAGCAATTTGGAACCAAGCTAAATGGGAGGAAAAATATGGATTGAGTAATTTTCATTCTCCATCAAATGATAGGACTAGGGAGAGGGTTTCTTCTGGCTTTATCCCTAAGGGTGTCTATTTAACGCTTCTCATGGCTGTTCCCCCCATCCTTGGAATGTTCCACTGTGCACTATCTTCCATTGTTGCCAGAGCAAAAGCTTTTGACTTACTCTTATTTGTAATTATCTCCTCCTTTGAGTCCTTCTTAAGTTCACACACCTTCTTCAACACCTCTACCGCAGTGTCCAGTTTCTTACCTATCTCCTTTGTTTGCCTCAAGATGCTTACGTGCATGTCTCAATTGTCTGTGTCCCTACTTCCTCAGACAGTAGGCAACATAGGGAAGGCCCTTAAATTATGTAAGTTAGCAGACAGATTAGACAGCTTTGAAAATATCACGTCTCATCTATGCTACAACTTTGATCCTGAGGAGACCAAAATATGACAATCTTTAACAGAAAATTAGCTGGGGTTTTAAGAAAATTATACTACATATTTTGACTATCTTTATGATACCAAATAAAGGTAAGACATTTTGATCTTTTATCTGGATGTCTGACCAACAGTTAAAATTTTGCCAGTTTTCTAAATACTCATTAGCAAAATAACTAAATTACCAAGATGTGAATTAAACACATTGTTTAACACCCTCTTCACTGTAATACCTACTATCTCAATTAATGATTAGACCAGTATAATTAATCTTAAAACAACTCCAGAATGATAGAGGACTGTGTCAAGTGAAGAGCAGTACATTTAGATTTTCATTTTATCCTTCCTTTCAGTGTGTCAGTGAATCCACTGTGAATCGATAGAGTAAGAGGCATTTACGCCTTCTTTGTGCAGCACTATCACTATCTAAAAACCTGTGGATTGAGGATCTGGCTACAGGGCAGCTTTACTCATGCAGAGGAGGAGACAAACCTCACCCCATGGCAGAAGACAGTCAGCGATCCAATCTGCCTAAAATATCCACCTATCTGTCTGAAATTGTTCTCTTTGGGTAAAAGGAGCAGTTGGAGGTGTTTTGGATGGCAATTAAATGAATTCTTAAAATGTTCTTGTTAGGTGAGAAAAGTGGTGAGGATTAGCTCCTTCCCACTAATATTTGAACTCCCAGGTACACATTAACATGGATTGTCATTATGATAATCTTGGTGTTGCAAGAGCAGAGACCAGGAAGAAATTGAACAGGGACAGCCTATTTTAAAAGTCTTTTTAAAAAAACTGAACTACAAAAGTAAACACAGCATCATAGAAAGTCTGCAGAACGAAATCAGTACAATGTTTTTTGCTGCTTTATCTTTTTTATATTATGCTCATTTTCTTCATTGCTCATGTTTTACTTTCATAATCGGCAAAGTATATCTAAAATATATCTCTGTTGTGTTTTTCAAACCCATATTCCACATCTTATGTAACTGTTACCGTTATTGTGTTCTTCCCTACAGTGTATATAAAAATATTTATATAGTTGGGATTAGTCTGCACCATATCTCCTTTTGTAACTTAACCACTGCCAAAGCACTTTTGCTGACTCCATGCTTAACTTTTTAATTAGTTGCCCAATAACTTATTAAGTGGATGAAACTTTAGAGAGCCCACTGTTGTCGGGTGCCTTTGTAGCTCCCAACTTTTTAGTATAAAAGAACCAGTGCTGCACATTTCCATTCCTATACCGCTGCCCCACCCACCCCAATCTGAATTACAGAGCACAGGTAGGTTGCTCTGAGGGGTTCTGGAGATGTCCCGCATACGAGTTCAAGCGTTTCCCCAACTTTTGGTAATTCCTTCTCCCCATCACAAACACACACTCCGCAAAATGGAGGAGCAACACAGACAGTGGGTAACTAGACCAAGAGAGGCCAAGAAGGAGGTAAAAGAAAGGGATTGTCGGGAGCGAAGAGGCAGAAGGACTCCCCAGCACTGCACTCTCCGCCTTTTGCCGCGGGTCTGTGAGCGTCGGCGCCCAGACAGTTTCCCGCCAGCCCGCGCCTCGCAAAGCTGCGGCCCTTCTCAAAACATGAAGGAAAGGAGTTCTGGAGTCTTGAAGAAGTAAAGAGCAGCGGGTGAGGGTCGGCAGCGGGTAGAAAATGTGAGCGCAGGTGAGCGCGGCTTCTCAGCCGGGAGGCTAGACTTGGAGTCCCCGCTCCACCCCGCACTAGATCGGTGGCGGCGCTAGTGCTTGAACTCTCTGCGCCTCAGTTTCCCCACCTGTAAAATGGGAATGAATTTTGCGTAAAGCAATGCCAGACAAAGAGAAAGGGCTCAATAAAAGTCACCCAAGATTGTTATCTAATCCCCACACGAGGCATCATCATCATCCCCAGCAAATCGCGATGCGGTAAACCGAGGTGCAGCGCCCCCCTCCCAACCCTCCCCCCGCCCCCAGGTGCTTGGCTAAGCTCACAGGGTTTGGCTAGAGGTTGAAGTGGGATTTGAAATCCAAACGGTAGGGGCCCCACGGCCTGCAGGGCTGAGCACCTCGGACACTCACCTTCTTGGCCCCGGGGCCTGAGGTCGGTGCCATCTTGTCGTGACTACGGGCACCGGGTCTCGCGGGCGCGTTAGTTCAGGAGTCCGCCCTTCGCCCGGGGGAGGGTCCCACCGCCTCCCAGCCGGCTCCGAGGCCCCAGGCTGCTGGCTGGCCTCAGAACAGGTGCCCGCGCTGTGGGTCTCGGCCTCGCCATGCTCCGGCCAGGAGCGCAGTGGCTCCGGGGCCTCGGGTTTCGGAGCTTCCCGCTGCGGGGCTCCCCCAGCGGCCCGCGCTCAGTCTCAAGCACCAAAGGGTGAGTGGGGGTCCCACCTGCGCAGAGGCCAGAGGCCCAGGGCTGCTGGGGCGGGAGCTACAGGTTGAGACAGTCTTCCGGGCTAGGGGGCGCTTCGGCCTCTGAGAAACCGACATTCGGATTTCTTGAATTATTTACGTTTTCTTTTCCATACGCAACGTTGCAAAGTGAAGCAAAATCAAAGGGTTCTTGGAGCAAAATCTCTTTCCCTAGCCCCTTTCCAGTCAACTGTTAACTGAGACTTCATCCAAAGATAGTTTATGTGTAGTGGCGTATGTGTAGGCAAATAGAAGTGTATATGTGTTCTTCTTTGACTTACTCAAACCTTGCTTTTTTCAATTATCAATATTTCTTGGAGATTGTTCATAGCAGCACATATTAATGTGCCTGATTCTTTTTGATGGATGCATAGTTTTCCATCCTGTCAATATTCCACAATATAATTAAACTGCCTTTTAATAAGCATGTAGACTGTTTCCAGTTTTTTGTTACTGCAAAGCTATGCATATGAAAAATATACACATATATTTGGGTACATAAGGGAGTCTGTGTATAGAATTAATTTTAAAAGTGAAATTGCTGGGGAAAAATCATTTACAATATTGTGCATTTGAAATACTGCAAGCACCAAATTATCCACTAAGTCAGTGGTGTCAGCCTGCATGTCCCCCACCAGTATATGTCTTTTGTTCAAATCTTGCCTGGTACCTTTGCTAGGTGGAAATGATATTCCCGCTTTCTATTTGTCTGTATTTAAATAGGAGCATTGCTGAGCATCTTTTGACTTCCCTATCTATGTTGGTAGATTACTCATAGTTGCAAGATAAAGCTTCTATTTTCCAATATCATGAGTTGACTCAATTTTTATTTTATGCCCAATGACCTGAAATTCTGGCATCAGAAGGTCTGGTTTTGAGTTCCAGCCATTCAGCCTTTCATCCAACAAATATTTACAGGGTGTCTGCAATATGCTAAACTTGATTCTAGGACTAGGACTACAATAGCCACTGAGTCACAGTTCTTGCTCCATTAATTATACAGAATGTGCCTTTAATGCCCGTAAGTTTGTTTCCTCATCTATGAAGTGGAGATATTAATATTTGCTCTAACTCACAGGATTGATGCAAATATTAAATGAGGGAATGCATATGCAACTGTTTTGTAAAGTGAAAAGCATCACAAAAAATATAACATACAACATATTATCTAATATAATAGTGATACATTTTATCCAATGAAAAATGAAATATAAATTTGCAAACATTAGTGGATCTGTCAAAACTCAGGACTATCCAAAAATATATTTTTAATAATCATTTGGCAAAATGTGTAGTTCTATATTGGATAAAATCAACATTCAAATGATTTTATTTCTATTGTATATTCTTTATATACCTAATTCCAAATTATCAAGAAGATGTTTTATTTTGGAAAACACTGGGGCAAGCACACAATCTACAACATTTTGTGTCCACTATAGAAGGAGGGAACCTGGGATTTTTGCATGATTCCTATTTTACTTAATTGCCAGTATTTATGACCATCCCTGACTGTTTCCAGAAGGCATTTAAGATAGTTATCTACATCATTTTAAAATACTATTTTTAGTCTGGAACCCATTGTGCCATGCTGGGAAGAAGAAATACTACACATTGGGTAATGCTTTATCACATATTGCCAAATTGAACCTTTATAATTCCATTTTTCAGGTGAATTTTGAGATTCTTGTCTAAATTTCTTTGAAATAGCTATTCAATTGGATTGGGGTCTCAAACCCAAGTTTTCTGCTCTTAAATTCTTTATACTTTGTTTCATCTGATTGCTGTCCTAAAAGAAATCATATTTGAACACACACACGTGATATTACATCTTGTCACCAATACAGTAGTTTCAACTGCAGTGCAAAATCTCCCCAAGCCATTTAAAGATGGATTTCTATGCAATAGTCATATCATGTGTTCATTTTTTCCCTTACATAAAGAGAAAATAAAAGACATTAAAAAATTAAGTATAAGTACTGGAATATATTGTGGTACTAGAAAACAAAGAACTATTCAAAGAATCTTGTGACCATGTCAAAGAATCTTCTGTTAGCTCTATTGGGACAATTTGGCTTTAGAATAAAGGGTGAGTAGTAATGGATTGTAACCCATTTAATACAAAAAATAACCATGAGTTCATATTAATATAAACAACATAAGCCAGAGAACAGGAGAAAGAAAATTACCTCCTTATAGTAGAATGCCAACTGATAAATATAAAAGGGATAATGGAGTTGGGAAATAATCAAGAGATTCTAAAACCACTCAGTGAAAGTTTTTTTTTTTTTTTTTAAAGATTTATTTATACAAGCACTGGGTACAGTCAGAAGCACGGGAGGGTGGGTGAGAGAATTCACCAGAGCCAGAGTGGGAACAGAACAGGCAGGCCGATGAAATATACTGCTGAGGGGAGCAGCGGGTGCATCAGGAGAGGTCTGCGCACCATGTGGGACCCTCGCCAGTGGCCGTGGATCGAACTGGCGCTGCAGAGGCTGCGGGCTGCTTTGCAGCCCAGCGCTCAACCGCTGCGCCACCAGGAGAGGCCCTCAGTGAAAGTTTATGTGGAGCGGGATTTTTGAGCATTCATAAAACAACACCTACATATTACTTTTAATTACAAAGGGGAGAGGGAATGGTGACTTTACTGGATACATCCAACAGCATGCACCTCAATCAAGTCATCAGACATAAAACAACACCAACAATGGGACAAGATGATATAATAATATGCAGTTGGAAGGACACAGTATAATTTCAATAGTTATCTTGCTAAAGTGTATATAAACTGAATGTTCCCATGAGGAATCACCAGAAAAACTCAGAGTAAGATGTGTTCTATAATGTAACTGTCCAGTACGCTTACAAAATATTCAAGGTCATGAAGCACAAAACTTGCCCATCAAGGGGAACTAAAAGAGACAGCATCCTGAATTTGATCTCTGACTAGGAAAAAAAAGCTCTGAAGTCCATTATTGGGACAATTGATTAAATTTGAATCCAAATTGTAAGTTAAATAATACTATTGTATCAATGTTAAATGTTATAATTTTTATAGCTAGACTGTAATCATACAAGAGAATGTCTCACATATATATTCTGCAGTATTTGATAGTAAATTGTGGATATCATCTCCCTTCTAAGTATTATAAAAGTTCCTTTTACTTTCTTTCAATAATGAAAATATAAGTCTCTAGATTAATTTTGAAGGGAGATTAGAATCTTGATATCAAGATTGTTCACCAATGTTATCTTTTTCAAATAAACATACTATTTTCTTCCAAATAAAGACTACTATGACAGGTGGTATAATTAGTATCATATCAAATTTAGGGAAGTTTCCATGTGGTCTTTTCTCAGTTTAAAAATTATCCCCAAAATGATAATTTTCAAAGTCTTGTGTTACCAAAATATAATATGGGGAATCTCCCTAGAATCCTTAGTAATTTATACCATGAGCCTCTAAGACAGAAATTAATGTAGCAAAAGGATTAGTGCCTTAGAAATAATAGTAAGAATAATGTAATAAGCTATAACATAACTTTCACTAATATAGTCAGCGATATTTACACTAGTTACCTTGTGTTCTAGATGCTGCTCACATATAGCAGTGAACCAATAGATCAAAACAGAGGCCTGGGGCTCCCATGAGAGATCCTTCTGGTGGAATTTTGCTGCCACATCTGGCCTCTCTGAACTTTCATCGCCCTATGCTTTCCTGCCACATAAACATCCCACAACCTGGAGCATCTTTTCTTTCTCATTTTGCCTGTTTGATTTTTACTCATCCTTCAGACCTTTAATAAGCAAACTTCTTCCATATATGCTCTTAGGGAATCCTCCTTTATAGCAACTTTAATTATTTCAATGAATTGCATTGTTGCAGTTTCCACGTTTGTGTTCTTATATGATTGATATCGCTCGACCATTTTGTAAGCTTCAGAGAGTAGAGATAATGTCGGTTTATCAGTGCTACATAGTGTCTAGTGCCCAGCTCTTGGTAGGAACTGAAGAGAAAAATGGATAAATGAATGAGTGAAAGAAATGTGTGTATCAGAAGTATAATCCACGGTAATAATTAACACCCTACCCACCCTACTGATCCCTACTTCTACTTGCATTGCATTTTCTGGGAGACATATCATGTAGGAATCATCAAGAGAAGTCAAGAGGAAACCATGACTATTCTTATTCATGCAACACATATAATAGATGTAGTCACTAGGCTGGGGCCAAGGATCAGGGATAAATAAGACATTGTTCTTGCCTTTAAAAAAATAAAAAATAAAAAGCTCATGATTCAGTTAGGAAGACAATCATACAAATAAATATATCAAACCATGAACAATAATTGTAATTTGAGGTGCATGTACATGAGGAGAGGAAGCTAAGTGAGGAAAATTTTACTCTATCTGGCTTTCTTTAACCTCGGAAACATTGAAGGGAAGAGTAGTCCAAGATTAGTAGATGGCAAACCACCAAATTACAGCTTTTCAACTTATAATACAATTATAAGTGTGCTTTCTAAGTAGACTGAGAAAAATTACTCTCTAGATTCTAAAGGGTAAGAGAGAACCAAACTATTAACAAATCTTAGAAATTTCACTATGAAAATTAGGCAGCGGGGGGAGGAGGAGGGAAACAGGACTCCGTGGACTGTGGTTGAGGATAATGGGTGCTTTGGTGGTAGATGTGGGGTGGTATTTACATCTGAAGAGGTGTGAACCTGTACTTCTGAATCATATACAGTGTTGTAAACCATTACCTCAATGAAAAAAAAGTTACTTGTTCAATTCTTTAGCCCTATTAGTTACCTACAGTGGGTCAGAATTATATGGAGTAGGACTCAAATGCCCACACTTCCCTCCCTCAACCAGGTTGCCTAAAGCAAAGTTTAGATGCCCCAATGATTAAGTCAGCATCATGAATATCTCACAGGTACAAGGTACTAGAGAACAAGTAAGGAGAATCACACTAGTTAGAAAAAGCTGTAATTACCATAACCTAGTAAAGCTACCATTTTTAAAAATTGCATTCCAGACAGGAAAAAGCACCTTTATCTCCAGAAACAAGATGGAAAGACAGAGCAGAGACAGTGATAATTGGAGGTGGCTGTGTTGGTGTGAGTCTGGCTTATCATCTGGCCAAAGCTGGGATGAAAGATGTGGTCCTACTGGAGAAGTCAGAACTGACTGCTGGATCAACCTGGCATGCAGTAAGAAAACCATAAAATACACTGAATTATGCCATTAGTGTGATCAATGTGCTTCCTTTTCATGACTCCCCTCTGCCAGCTCTTTATAGAGTTTCCTTTCAGTTATGTTGGAAAGTACTTTCCGGTTTGATTTGTATCCTTCCAGGTAGTGATCAACATTTGTGATGTCTTTGTCTTGAACATATGGTCTCTGGATTCAAACCTTGGGTCTGCTATTTCCTACCCATGTGACTTCAGGGAAATTATTTAAGTATCCATTTTCTGATGTGTAAAATGGGAAGTAGTAATAGTACCTACCCAACAGGGTTGTGATAAAGATTGAATTAATATGTGAAGATTGTTAAACACATGGTAAGTATTTAGCAAATGTTAGCTTTGTATTGAAGGAGAATGGCTGGGTAAGCCTGAATATAGTTTGAGACCTTTATCTATATTCTATTACCTGTTCTTAGTGGCCCTGTTAAAGAAATATATTTATGATTTTAATTTTGTGCTGTGAGACACATTAAGTCATAAGACTTGGCTTCATGGAGACTTAACTATGATGGAAGAAAATGTGCGCTAGAGCTTTCACGTTGTGTTAAATAAAGCACACAAGTCAGTCTTGCATATCTAATGGTATACATAATTGTTCCACTGCTACATATAATTGAACTCAAATGGAAAGTTGCTCAGGTAAATGAGGTGATTGACACTGCTTTCATACAGCCACACTAATTATCTTTGAAGTCAGCTAAGGATGGAAAAGGAAGTTTTTATGACTGTGTAAGGGCAGGAATGGACACAGTGCAGGTTTTCTGATCCCATGCAGACTGGGTAAAGGAGGAGTCAGAGTCCTCGGTGGTTTTGCAGGTCTTTTATTGGGGTTCAGCGGGTACATGGCAGGCAGGGGTACTGGGGGGCTGGGAGGACTGCCAGCCCCCAGCAAATCTTCAGTCCTCCCAGCCCCCAGCAAATCTTCACTCTATCTGGGCTCTCTGGCGTTCTCTGCTTCTGCTTCGGGTTTCTTCTCTTTCGGCTTCTACTGGCATCCCTGTGACACCACCCTTAAATGCACAGTCTTAGTACAGGTGTACCCACTTCAGGTGCCCGCCATCAGGCATGCATTCAGGATCACAGAGTTCCCTCATCTATCCTGATGGCGGGAGGGCAGAAAAGCCTGATTTTTTACCTTATCCTACAGACTGTCAGTACAATTTTCATTTGGAGGGGAGATGAAATGGGCAGAGTTAGCCATTGTTCATCATTCCTTCCTTTGACTTGCTTTCCTCTGCTAAAACAAAGACAAGAGAGAACCCCGCTTTTAGAGGAGTTTTAATGTTTAGAATCTACTTAAAGTATGGGGTGGAAGGCTAAAAACTGAAAGGGCTGGCTTTCTACAGCTGAGTTTGGGAGAGAGGGCTGCCAGAACAGCCCTTTGTCTTCAGAATCCCAGGGGTCACATGGTCAGACTACACCCACTTACTAGAAAAGTTACAGGCTGGCTCCTCTCTCATTGATCCTCCCTACTTCCTTCCTTCCAAATGCCTCATTCTTCCCCCTGGGCGGTGCCCATCCTCCCTGAGAGTAATTTTGACTTCTTCACAGGCACACTTGTTTCTTGTTTCTCCTTCCGCCTGCTTCCTCCAAACTGGAGACAGTGGTCAAGGAAGCCACCAACACTGCTGGCGCCTCTCCCCACATTAGGCTTTCTATGCAAACCTTCAGTTTATTATGTAAAAGAAAGCCTGCGTTTCCTCCTACTGCTTTCTTGTGACTTCTCCTTGGTGGACTCCAGTCACTCATGCAACAAATGTTTAGTAAGAACCTATACCATGTCAGGCCAGCACTGCTCTTGGCGATGAGGAGATAGTGAACAAAACAGTTTCAGACCTCACAGAGTCACAAGGCAGTTTGTGGGGGTAGTTAGAACACAATTAAGGCTCAACTGAGAGTAATCAGTACCATGAAGAAAAGTAAAGTGGGCTAAAGGGATGAAGAGTGATGAAAGCAGAAAGGAGGAGGTACTTCCAAGAGAGGCAGGAGACTGGACTGTGCAGGTGAGAGCAGGGAGGCAGAGGGGAATTTAGGCCAGTGGGACTCTCCTAAGAGGGAGGGCTTATATACCCTTTTAGCACTTCTAGATTGTTAAGGAGGTCATATACTTTCACATTTTAATGGTTTTGCTCTTTTGTTTTTAGTTGATTTGATCAATAAACAGCATTTCCGAATAGATTACTGGATTCTCAGTCATTCCATGAATTTAGAAAAAGGTGACATAATCCTTAGCCTATGTTCTTTTAAGAAAAATAAGCAAAGTTTTTAAGATGATAGCTTCTTATTAAAAGTTAACTGCAAATAGATGACTGGATCAAGAAGATGCGGTACATATACATAATAAAATATTACCCAGCAATCAAAAAAGATAATCTCATGCAATTTGCAGCAACATGGATGGAGCTGGAAGAGATCATGCTCAGCGAAATAAGCCAGAAAAAAAAAAATACCAGATGGTCTCATAGCAGAAATTTAGAAAACCTAAGTAAGAGACCAGGAAAAAGACTATTTATGATAAAGTAAAAACCAAAATCAACAAACTATAAACCAGAGACACGCTACATACGAGGGGGGGGGGAGAAGGAAGGAGTAGAATCAAAACAAGGGGGGTGGGAATTGTATGGGGACTATAACCAAGATGAAAACGCATACATTGTGCAAAAATGAAAAATGATGTAAAAAATATATAAAGTAAAAAAACAAAAAAAAAGTTAACTTCAAAATAATTTTCTGTTAAGCAAAGAGATACTAGAGTGAGTGAAAAGGGCATTATCTAGTTTTGGTGAGCAATGTATCATGCTATGTTTAACAAAACGAGAGTGACTCAATGTGACCTCAAGATGGAATCAGGCATCACAAGCCAGGTTATTTGTTCCCCTAGAAGTAAAGAAGAAGTTGTCCCAAGAACATGATTCTAGGACTTTTTGCGAGTCAAGAAGGCTTCCTCTGAAAAGCAACATGAAGAAATCCCACAAATTGGGAATTTTTAACATGGGGAAATTCTTGGAACAGATATCTTCTCCTCTCCCCCACCCCCACTGTAGTGTTTCTCTGGTCTATAGTTGCTTGTTGATTTTGACTTTTACTTTGTTGCAATTAGGGGAAGACTAAAAATTTAAAGGCATCTCACTGAGATATATGTTCAATGTTAAATGTGTCTAGAGAGAGCAGGAATCAAGTGTTTGGGAACAAAGACAGAGCTAGCTTAATGAATATTCAAAATGGAGTGACTAATTCATAAATCTTGAGGTTTTGCTATATTTTAATGAGACACTCTTGTCAGCATATGACACTGCTGCTAATATAGAATGCTTCATGTGTGATGGAGGGAAAGGGGTGAGGATGGAATGAGAAACACATTTGTGGCATGGGGTACCAGGAGAGGCTGAAAGTAATAAATCTCTCCTAGGAAAGCTCTAACACATGCAAGAGATAAAATCTTTAGCACATCTAAATTTTTTTCCAAATGAGTTTCTGTGGGATTTGAACCCATTTATTTAGAACACAAAAAAGTGATACCTCCCAATTAGTTTTTTTTCTAATTCTTTTTTTTTTTTAAAGATTTATTTATTTATACAAGCACTGGGTACAGTCCGAAGCGCGGAAGGGTGAGAGGATTCACCAGAGCCAGAGCAGGGAACAGAACAGGCAGACTGATGAAGTACAGTCTGAGGGGAGCAGTGGGCGGCAGGAGAGGTCTGCCCGCCATGCGGGACTGTCGCCAGGTGGCCGGGGATCAAGCCAGCGCTGCAGAGGCTGCGGGCAGCCTAGCAACCCAGCGCTCAACCGCTGGGCCATGGGGGAGGTGCCTCCCAATTAGTTTGTAACAATAACTGATGGATAAGTGCTGCCCACCCGGCGCAGTGGCAGATTAGCAAGGCTGACCCAGGGATGAGAGACTGAGCTAGGCGGTCAAGGATTCGGCGCAGAAATGACAGACAGACACACTTCAAGAGTGAAGATCTGAATGTAATGTGCTCTAAATTATTACACCTTTTTATACATTTTCTTTATGCATTACATCACATGAAATTATCGCAGAAATGATGAACATGATATTCTTTTCAACATAACATAATCACAAGATATAACCATGACATAGATTTAGTATTTCAAAATGTTGCATTTTAACTAGTGATTGATTATGAATTACAGTTTCAGTGATTCAAATATACTTCTTGTCCAAACCTGTTTAACTAGTTTATATGTTTTACCTACTGCTATTATTGTTATTACTACTGGAAATCTAGCCTTCTATATTAGCTCTACTATTATTTTGTTAATATTTTACTTGGGGTGGTTAGTTTTAATTAAAAGCTTGCAAGCTTAGTTCTTCTATATTTTATTTTATTTTTTTTTTTTTTATGGAAGGGTGGTCACTCACCCTTTCCTTTTTTTTTTTTTTTTTTAAGATTTATTTATTTATTGATTGATTGATTGATACATACATACATACAAGCGCTGGGTACAGTCAGAAGCGCGGGAGGGTGAGAGAATTCACCAGAGCCAGAGCGGGGAGCAGAACAGGCAGAAGGACCGAAGTACACTGCTGAGGGGAGCAGCGGGCGGCAGGAGAGGTCTGCACGCCATGTGGGACCCTTCTCCGGTGGCCGGAGAGCAGCCGGGGATCGAACCAGCGCAGCAGAGGTTGCGAGCAGCTTCGCAACCCAGCGCTCAACCGCTGCGCCACCGGGGAGGCCCAGTTCTTCTATATTTTAAAGGAACTGTTGATCTATGCCTATTTATTTCTGATTCTTATAAAGTATGTTTTGACGGATGAAGTTTTTGCATGTTTTTGTCACCTTGGTTGCTTACTGGATTTCAGATTGCCAAATTCATATAGTTATATTTTAATCAGTGACATTTGACTCTGTACACCATTATACCGTAACTAAGAAAATTAAAGTAATGCAGGAAAGGAAAACGTTTATAACTAGACAGGTAAACAAAAAGGTATGCTGAAACATAGGGAAAAGTTGTTGCCATGGCAGGAACAGCAGGTGCATTGTCTTCATATCAATCAAACTTCTTATAGTTTAATATCGTCATCTTGCAGCAATGTGTTTGGGGAAAAGTGCAGTGTGCTCCCCTCACATACTAACCATGCTGAACGGGGGGGTTCTTAACTGCGAGCCAACAGGCATTTGCCTTGCCAGAATATTTTCATAATAATGCCCCTCGGGGACTGCGCCTGTCTTAGGTTGTTAGGAGTCACAGACATGTGCCCGGGCAATGCCATTTCTTGTCTGCCCCTGATCTTACCCGTCATTGACTGTCCAGTCCAGCGCACAGGGGAAAGGGGGTCTTATTTACTCTGACTTATGTTATGTCTGAGTAAAAGCCACCCTTTTTTCCAGTGTTCACATGCGTTCAGCGGCAGAGGCTGCCACAGATAAGAGAATATGAAACGTTATAGTCAGATTTCAGCAGAAACTTACAGGTGGTGACTGGAATCGAGGAAGTGGTATGTGGGTACAGGCAGAACAGCCAGGAGGGCACACTGCTTCTTCTCTGTACCAGTGACAGTTATCTTCAGCTACCACAGACCTCAAACCAGTCTCAAAATAAAACAAGCCTTGAATTAGGCCTTCAAATCGCTGTTTCACCAATATCAATCCAATATATGTACTTTACTAACGAAGTTTGTTACTCACATAGCTCTTGCTTAAGTATTATTCATAGGCTTAATAGTCAAAGCTTGATTCTAAAAAATTCAAAAACTTTTCTATACAAGAAGTAAAATAAATTTTATATGAAGTATTTAATTCATTTCAAGTTGTTTTTGTGTGTTTTATGATGTGTACTAATATAGTAGTACATATTTATATCTCACAGATAAAGAAATACATGTATTTACTGGAGATGCTTAAGCATTTTTATTGGATGTGAGTGCATGGAACTACTAACTAAAAGATTTGGGCCTACTGGGGTATGCTATAGAGGCTCCTGAGAGATGGAGAAGGATTATGAAAGTGATAGGGAGAGCATCGCTAGTTTTAGTATTCATCGATATTTTTCCAGCTCCATTATTCTTTTCATTTTTATTAATTTTTTTAAATTTTATATATTTTTTACATCATTTTTCATTTTTCCACAATGTATGCATTTTCATCTTGGTTATATTCCCCATACAATTCCCACCCTCCTCATTTTGACCCTAATCCCTCCTCCCTTCCCCTTCCTCTTTCTCCCCCCCACCCAGTGTGTTTCTGATAATTCTCACTCTACTGTAAGGGCTCTCTCTTTTCCTTATTTTTAAAGCTATTTATATCAACAATGATTTATAAATTCTTGTTATAGTCAAAGGGATAATTCTTAATGATTATTCAAATCTGTTTCGTCTCTCCTCTTTTGTCTTCTTCACTATTATAATTTTTTTTCTTCAGATTAAAGGCAAGCCCTTTTGTTTCCTTCCTTGAAGACTTCTGTGACTCTTTCATAATCCTCTCTTCTTTTATTTTCCCTAGTTCTTATGTCTTTATGTGGTCTGGTATTTAATCATATTTTAATGCTAATCATAACCTTATTTAATCTTAATCTTAATCTAGTTGTTTCATGTGTGAGCTTCATGACTTCAGTGAGACTATAGACTCTTGAAAAGTAAGAACAAACTTTTCTCTTTCTCTCAGCTTTTTATTTGATATATCCTTGATGAAGTCCAGCAAAGAAAAACATCATTTTTCCCTCCCATGTCACAAGACTGGTACACGAGTTACCAGTGACTACCATTACATTCAAATAACTTACAGAAAAAAAGCACATAAGTTGACCCAAATTTTAAGCAAAGATTAAAAGATAAAAATCCATTGATAGACGAATGTAGTCTATAAAAATAAATAATATTCTTCTTATACCTAATGAAAAATTAAGCCCAGGACTTACTTCTGATTGCTCTAGCAGCAAGGAAATGAGGGTACTATGAGTTGTTCAGTGGAAATAGGAATACTATTTCAGTAAGGAAAAGTAACTTTTTCTTGACCAGGAATTCCCAGAATTTACCCTTTATCATAGTCTATTGGGCTAAATGTCTTTAATAACAATTTTTCAAGAAAGAACCCATGTGACACTTTCAAATGAAAAGTCATTAACTCATAATTTTATGAAAATATCTTTCAGGGGTGGATGGAAACAGACTGATAGAGTGTAGACATATAACATACCTTTCTGGTAGACTGGTCAAACCCAGGTTAGAGAATCATGAGGTATAAATGGTGAATAGAACCTGAAGCCAGTGTTTATGTTGCCAATTCTGAACTGATGGGAGCTATATGGATGAAAAAATTGAGTTATATAGTAAATACATGAAGACTAGAGATTACTTATGATTGTACTAAAAAAGCTCATGTGTACACAGGATACCAAGTATGTTAAGGAGAATTCAGTGTTTGAAAGTTAAAGCTGGACCTGCAGTTCCATCATAGTGGATTTTCCTCAAAAAAGAAAACAGAAAAGAAAAAGTTGTGTATATGTCCAAATGCTTTAACAAGTACTTGAAAGAAACCCAAGGATTCTGGTCCACAAAGGATGATTAATAAACGTTAAATAGAGTGTTTTTGAGTTCAAGAGAACCAAATGCTCACCACTACCATAGACGAACCTCATAAGTACTAATTAGATTTTATTTTCAACAAATTTTGCCCTGATGAACTGTGTTCTGATAAAGTAACTGTAAAATGGGACCCTAGATACTTAATTGAGAGAAACTGCTTCATACAGTTGCTTAGAATTCTTTGTCTGGGTACTGTATTGCATCTGTCTTAGATATAAAAGGGATTTTGGTATGCTAATATTTAGGTATTTTTTCCTGACAGTTATTAATCAGTATTTATCAACAAATATTTGTGGAGGAGATTCTATGTGCTCAGTAATCAGGTTGTGCTTCAACAATAGTCTATTTACCAGTTCACCAGTCTTGAATTTTGGATATTTTAGGGAAGGGAACAGGAGGGTGACTCCTTTCCAGAAAATGGTGAGAATTGAGTCAAAGAAAACTCTGCTTCCTGGTCCTTCTCCTGAAGGGAATTCACATGATTCGTTAGGTATGATTTGAGTTCATATGTAAGCCATGCCATCCTAATATATTCCTAAATTCATATCTAAATCATCCTATTTTTGAATCTGTGACAACCCTTTTCCTAGTACTATTAAGGACCTAATGTTTATTTTCTTTGACTGGTTCTCACATTATTAATATGATTCAAACTGTATCTTAAAGCTCTGATATGAGCCTCATGTTCTGGTGTGCACACACTGGTGCTGTTGTGGGCTCATCCCAAAGGACTGGCTGATACTTTCTTGCCAGTGAGAAATAATTGCTAACAATAAATTATCGACATTTTCAGAATGTTAATTTTTTTTTCAGAATTTCCTTTCCTTTTCGTTTTTAAGGCAGGTTTAACAACATATTTTCATCCTGGAATAAATTTGAAGAAAATACATTATGATAGCATCAAACTTTATGAAAAACTGGAAGAAGAGACTGGACAGGTAAACCCATTTAATTTGAAGTCATCTTTTCGGTCAGATTCTCAGAAATATAGGAATTTCTGGACTAATTTTGATATACCATGCTATGTGACTGAGTGTAGTGATATCACTTACTTGTAAATTGTTTAATATGATAGAGAAATCTGATGAGAGTTTAAAGTAAGACCTTCTAGAGTTTGCTTTACTCCTACTTTAATTTCTTACCCTTGAATTAATGGCTCTTCTTGATTTTCTTAAATGAAGAAAGAATAAAACAGCAACTTTCAAAAATATCTCTAGTTAGTTACTATATCTAGAAACTAAGAAAGCATATCCTTTCAGCATTTGGATTGTAAAGGAGCTGACAATGTTGCATGCCTGCCAGATTGTCATACAACATTGAAAAAGACTTCACTGAAAGTCCCCACTTTTATTTTTATCTCTCTTCAGACTTATTGGAACTCTCAAAGTGGCAGGCAAAGAGTGTCTATAGGCTAAGAATGGAGTCTCCTTAAATATTTCATGTTGTTTCCCTTGCCTCAAACCATCAAATGGCTTCTACAGTCTATAGGACAACCGCCAAAGAAGGAGGGTCTTCAGTTGAACCCTGCCTGCCTTTCCAACATTTTCTCTAGCTACTCTTTGCTATGGTCTCAAGCTGCAGCTAGTTTTAATTATATGTAGCTCTGAAAGGTGCTGTGTTCTTTGACTAAAACAACATGCCCTCCAGTCTCCATCTTGCCATAAACCTCCCACCCTTCCCAGGTTAACCCCTTTGAGAAGCCAGCCTTGACTTCTCCACCTGCCAGTCAGGCTAAGCTGGGACACATGTTCCTGTTCTAAGATTTCTGTACACCTCTCTTGTGATTGTTGCTCCACTGGTCTTCCCTACAAGGTATGAGCAACTAAGGGCAACTACATCTTTAATCTTATCACCTAGTTGAGTGCTTGGTTAATGAATGCAAATGACTGCTAATTTCACTCCATACTTAATCTCATCACTTCAGCATCCTGATTTTTCATATCCCCTCCTAAAATCCTTTGCATTTCTCTTCATGTAATTTTCTTTTCCTATATTAATGCACAATCCCATGTTATTATAATTATGCATTTAGCTGTCTGCATTCACCTGTAGACTGTAAGCTCCATCTTGGCAGCATCTTTGCCTCTTTCTTTTTTCTTTAAAGATTTATTTATGCACACAAGAACTGGGGTACAGGCCAGAGATGCGGGGTGGGGGGGGGTTGGCGAGAGGATTCATCAGAGACAGAGTGGGGAACAGAACAGGCAGATTGACTGAGGTACCCTGCTGAGGGGAGCAGCGGGCCAGGCAGGAGAGGTCTGCTGTGCCATGTGGGTTTCTCTGTGGCTGGCCAGGGATTGAGCTCGTGCTGCAGAGGCTGCGGATTGCTTCATAGTGTGGTGCTTAACCCCTTGTGCCACCAGGGAGGCCCATCTTTGCCTCTCTTGTTCATTCTGGAACCTCTAGGGTTTAGCATAATCCCTGGCACAGAGGCAGTAGTTAATAAGGAGTTGCTGAGTGATGTCTTTTCATAAGATACAAATATGTTATGTACTTAGCTCTTTCACTATATAGTCAATCTCTGTTCTGGACAGCTGCATTTTCTTTGTGCTAGAGAGCCATGATTAATTTGTGTACTTTTGTTAAAATTATTGTCACAGGTGGTGGGATTTCATCAGCCAGGTAGTATCAGAATTGCTACAACTCCTGTAAGGGTAGATGAATTCAAATATCAAATGACTCGAACTGGCTGGCATGCAACGGAACAGTACATTATTGAACCTGAAAAAATTCAAGAGATGTTCCCTTTACTCAACATGAATAAGGTATTTATTTTAAGGGCATTTTCAACATTTGTTGACTTCAATAAAGATTAGAAAGTTATTCTAAAAATTAATTTAAAATAGAAAAATAATTTTGAATGAATGTGCTCATTTTGAATGACAATCAGATGATTAATGGTGGAATTTGAACAAATTGCAAGGTAAGCTATTATGTATGCTAAATGAAATATTAAAAGGTAATGAAAAATCTTAGTTTTCCCCCTATGACAACTGAGGGAACATTCTCAGTGCTTTTCTATTACTGTGTCCCCAAGATCTAGAGGTTTTCACATATAAACCTTCTATTTGAGAACTGCAGAGAACACAGTAACCTGGTATGATAAATATGTGTGGAAAGACTTGTTAAAACTTTTTACAAAATCAAATTTAGAAATACCGTGCTATGTTGCAATACAAATATCACCTAGCTCATAGCTGTACTCCCCTAACAGGGTCTACAGGAGGTATTGATCTAGTTTTAACCAAACTTGTTTGTGAGAACTCACTTGGGAATTTTGTGTCCTTTTTACTGGGTAATAATAATGCCATTTGATTATAACAATAATGATTAACAACTATGTAGCATTCTAGCACATATGTATGTTTCGGTACTATGCTAAGTTCTTTATATGCATAATTTCGTTTGATCATCACAATAATAAAGGTATATATCTTTACTAAAGGGGAAACTGCCACTTAGATTGCTTACATAGTGGATCCGAGGTCATTCAGTTAGGAAGAGCTAGAGCAGAGATTTGAGCCCAGGCTCTCTGACTCCTTTGTACACACTACCTAAATGTGCCAAGTGGGACTGTGCAGAAGAGCAATTGTTTATGTTTCTCTAAGCCCTTGAGACTTGTATTATTGATTTGGGTGCTGGTGTTGTTTGCTCTTGTGAGGCTTTACTGACTGCTGGCACTCCTTTGTATCCTCTGTCTTTGGGTAATACTGGTATGCTAGAAGATTTGTGTTGCATTGAATTATCTGCACTGCAATTCCACCACAGCTAGTATTAAGTATATGCTTACATTTGTTTACATATCCATCAAGTAATGCTTTGCTAGAAGTTTGTGATATCAGAAATGTCTCAAGGGCATTAGAATTAGGCATCCTCACAGTGAAAATATGTGGGAAGAATATTCTCTGGGTCAGGGGCACTGTGCCAAGTGAAATAGATATGCGTTCACTGCCTTAAGGACATAACCATTATAAAACATCAGTGTGACATTTTGAAGTCTATAGTTACATGAATTTATTAAAACCAAAGTCTTTTGTACAAAGACAAGATTGGATTAGTATTCAAAAACAAGGAAAATCCTAGATCCATATTATTTCACTGATATAGTCTACCAAATATTTGAGGAGGAATTAATACTAATCCTTCACAAACTCTTCCAAAAATAGAAGCAAACATTTCTCAACTTATTCTGTGAGACCAGTATTGCCCTGATACCAAAACCAGATAAAGACATCACAAGAAAAGGAAGGTCAATATCCCTATTAATATTGACACAAAAATCCTCAACAAAATACTAGTAAACTGAATTCGGTAACATATAAAAAACACTATGCAGCTTCACCAAGTTGAATACACCAAAGAAATGCAAGTTTGGTTTAAAATCTGAAAACAAGTCAATATAATACATCACATGAATAAAATAAAGGATAAAAATACTTGATCATCTTAATAGATCTAGAAAAAACATTTGACAAAAGCTCCTTGCTCATATTTGGTACTCAACAAATTTTTGTTGCATGGATGGGAACTAGCTATACTATTTCACTATGTTCATTTTCCTAAAATGCATCTGAATTTTATTCATTTCCCCCACAGTAACTAACCTGAAGCCCAGGTGCAAAGTAGATGGTCAAGAAAAAGCCATTGCATATATTTTTAAAATCAAGCATATATTTTCCTGACACCAGATATGTATTTAACATATGAAAATATTAACTGTTCTAAACAATTATAAATAATTGACCAATTAATATTAGATTTGACTGTGAATGCCAGAAACCAAAATAATAAATGCTTCAACAAAACAGCTTACTTCTATTGCTTTTAGTCAGTCCAGGACTTGACTTGTGGTTCTTTTCCATGAGGACATCAGGGACCCAGTTACTTTCCAGATCATTACTCAATCATTCTTAGAGTGTGACTCTTTTGATCTTATTTCAAGATGGCAGCTAGAGCCCTAGCCATTTTGTCTGCATTCTAGATAGCAGGATGGAGGAAGGGACAAAGAAGAGGAGCAAAAGGCACATGCCAGTTTTCTTTTTAAAATGGTTTGTGAAAGCTTCCACATGACATTTTTTTTTTTTTTTATGTTTTGTTGACCAAAAGTTAGTAACAGTTTTAGCTACCTTATTCTTGGAACTAATAGCTACCAAGGAGGTTGGAAATTCTTTGTTCTTAGTGTCTATGTGTCTAAATAGACATTTGATTTACATTAATATGAGGGGAAGTGAGAATGGATGGTAGAGATAATTACTAACTTCTCAAATAGCCTGTCAACTTAATTCTCGGCATGAGTCCTAAATCTAAGCCTTGTTACAGGACAAAGAAGTGCAAACTGATCAATATGATGCCATGATGAACTTTATTTATTTTTTATGGTAAATTATTAAAGAGAAAAGGAAACAGAAACCCTGTATAGACATAGGTGGCAGAGAGCTGCATGTGATGAACTTTTAAAGTCCAGTTTTCTTAAGTATTTTCTGTCAGGTTATGGTCAAATTGAATAGTAAGTATATATTCATTGAATATTGACTCTTTGTGATTTAGATTTTAGCTGGATTGTATAATCCTGGAGATGGTCACATTGATCCGTATTCTCTAACTATGGCCCTCGCTGCTGGAGCTAGGAAATATGGTGCCCTTTTAAAATATCCTGCACCAGTGACTTCCCTGAAACTCAGGTCAGATGGAACATGGGATGTTGAAACACCACAGGGATCTATGAGAGCAAATAGAATTGTGAATGCTGCAGGTAAGTGTTATATCTTTTTTTAATTTGTGAATTTTTGAAGTGACAAAGATATAAGATATTTAGCCATAATGTTTTATACTATGAATACTGTGATGCTTCCAGTCAAATATTTTGTTTCTTTTAACAGTCCTCCTTCTATTATTTTACTCTGTGTGTGAGATATCACCCAGTCCTTGGTTATTCATAAAAAGTTGTTTTCCTCCATTTCCCATTTTCTTTTGCTCCAGATTATGTTTTGCCCAATTATATCTCATTTTCCTTCCTATATTCATTTTATACTAATAACTAAATTCTAGTATTCAAATTCATGAGCACTCTCTTTGTTCTCTGTTTGCTTTTTTAGAATAGACTTGATCATGTGTGTTATCTCTCATCCATCTCTGATTATTTTGGACTCTACTCACAAAACCTTTAACCCTTTTCCTTTCAGATCATTAATAAACACATTTCATAATCTTTCTTTAGGTTACTTGGTTACGGTTTAGATTCTGAGTAGTGAAGCCAAAAGGAATATTTGAGATAATATAACAACTCACTCATTTTCCGTTTGTGGAGACCAAGGTCCAGAGAGGTCATGTTAGTTGGTGAAGTGACACATTAATTATGACAGAACCAGGACTTGGACCTGGGTCTTTTGATTCTTGAGTTAATATACTTTCTAATAGGTCATTTGCTTATGAAATAATTTTCAACTGTCGCACACACACACAAATAAATTCTTGTAATAGTAAATATGCTTGTACACTATAAACTGGGATAATAATTTTTTTTACCTGTAGTTCATAATGGCTAATTTAAAACCCAAATATAAGCATAACATAGTAACTAATTTTCTCCTGGAATGCTCCTTAAGTCATTATTTAAATTGTAAAATGAAAACAATCTTTATTATTTATCAAATCAAATGATATGCCTCAAGGCCATACTGGAAACATGTATCCTTAAGATTCTTTCCTCTAAATTATAACCTCTAATTGCTAATATTTGTAACAAAAATGTTTTTTATTGGTCTTCAAAAAAGTCATGTGTTTAATTATTTAAGTGTTTAAATTAGTATTTCTGAATCTTTCTAACCAATGAGTCTCTCTTTTTAAAAACACAAAAATCTCATGCCTTTTTTGATCTTATTTAAAATTCAAAATAATGTTGAATGACTTGCCTTAAAAAATCAAAGCAAAAGTATAAAACATCACTTTGTTTTGAACTTTGTTTGCTTATTACTAACTCCTCTCACTACTCTCTGCAACCCCCATCTGTCACCCACCAACCTCTACTTTTCTTGTCCATCCCCCAGTCTAAATTCGATTAGAAGATATATAGCAATGAACAGAGCTTACCACTTTGGAAGCATATATAATAATGATAATAATTATTGTGATTATTGTAATTATTTCCTTGAAAGTCTATGCCCAATCTGGGCTGCACTAACATCAAGTTTCTATAATTTCTTGGTGTCAGTCTTATGATTACCCAACTCCTTGTGTACACAACTTGCTCTATAATCATGCAGCACTCATTCTGCTAGTAAACTGACTCACCCAAGATCTTGGTTCTTAAGATAATGTGCGTAAGAATCACCATGGAAGTTTCCTAGACTTCAAAAAGATTTTAATTCAGGTGGGGCTTAGAAGCCATATTCTAGCAAGTACTCCAGGTCCTGTGCTGTTGTACCAGATGTTCTGCAAAGTATCTTTTGAGAAACACTGTTATATTATCTAGGTCTTCCTACAGCAGAGAGAATGTAGCAACCTTACTCTTGAGCAAGCAGAGCTGAAAACAGTTTTGACACTGTTAGTGTTCAACAGTCTGACCTCTTAGTGTGCAATAGTCTGACTTGCCTTTGGTACCTGAAGCTTTCAAAATCTGCTTGATTCTATCCCTTCCCTCAGGTGCACCTCAGGAAAAGGGCAGGAGCTATTTATTATGATGCAAACTTTTTCTCTGCATGGTGAATTTTTCTCTTGACGTCATTTCCAATTGACTCAACAAAGCTGAGATAATTGTATAAATTTTACTTAAGAATGTTCCTACTATGGTAAATCAGAAATGGGATTGGATCATGCCAACATGCAGTCCAGTGTTCAGCCAAAAAGAATTGCTTAATTTTGCCTGACACTGTGTCACAGAATGAAACCATCACTGCCTTTATATAAACCATGTGGTAGAAAAACTTGTCTGTGTGCCTTGACCTTTCATTTTAGCCTTATTCCTATTAATCACTACCTTAAAAATAATGAAAGTTATTTCCAATGATTATTTCTCTTGACTCTTACTTGTTTTTCTGGTAATAATGGTAGATTTTAGAACGAATATTCCACTTTCTTTCTTCCCTTTGTACTTGGTGGGTGGGGGTTATAGCAGGGATTGAAGTATAACCTTCCTAAGTTTAAGTTAGCTTGATCCACATAAGAAGAGGAGAATGTCAAGAAACTCCAGTAGGTATGCCTGCTATGGGGTTTGAAATAATACAGTTATATGGTATTATATGTCCATTCCCACTTTGTTTTAATAACAAAATGCATCAATAAGCAAGCAATTCAATTCAAAAATTCATAAATATGTTTGAATGAGACAGAATTAATTTTCTTCAATTTATGTTTTTAATTGAAACAAGTATATTGCGGATACTGCAGTGGTTTGAATTGCTAGACTAAATATTTTGGCTTTTTATACTTTAAATCTACTCTAGTGCATATAACTAGAACATGTAACTTTATTACTTTTCTTATAAAGTCTTGACATTGGTAATTCACATCTTTGTTCTAGAAAAATAAATCAAATCTCTAAATTCTTTTTTTATTAAACTTTTTTTTTTAAGATTTATTTATTTTTATACAAGAACTGGTCAGAGGCATGGGAGGGTGAGAGGATTCACCAGAGACAGAGTGGAGAGCAGAACAGGCAGATGGACCAAAGTACACTGCTGAGGGGAGCAGTGGGTGCGACAGGAGAGGTCTCCAGCACCATGTGGGTATCTCCCTGGATGGCCGGGAATCAAACCAGCGCTGCAGAAGCTGCAGACAGCTTCACAGTGCTGCGCTCAACCCACTGCGCCACTGAGAGGCCCAAATCTCTAAATTCTTAAAAGACCAGCGAGCACTTCTAATGTCCACAGATAAGATTTCTAGTTTGCATGTAGCCACCCATTTCTGGAGCTATTATACAAGTGTGGCCATTGTAACTGTTAGGCCAAAACAAAGCAACAGAACATGAGGGTGTCGTGTAGATGGCTAACTCTGAGTAAACACTGGTATATAAGAATACATAGTCTGACTTCCCAGACTGACTCATGATTGACAATTCTATGTGTAGCTATGAACTTCATGATAGATTTCAGATTATTAGATTCTGGAAAAAAAATAGAAAAGTTTTGAAAATAAGTAAGATTCTCTAGCAGCCAGGGCTTGGGGAAGACACCGGAAGTTGTTGGAGTCATATGCAGGCAGACCATGTTGAGCCTAGAGAGCGTCAGGCTCACCCCTGCGCCCAGGAAGGGGCATTCACAGTCATCTGAGGTCATCCATAGGTGCCTGTGAGCCTCCGGGTCTTGGCTGTCAGCAGATCTGAGAAAGAATGCAGAGGAACCCACAGAACCTTCCACTTGGAACTGGTGGAGTTGTTGGTGTGCTGGCTCTCAAAGAAGCCTCTCAGATATGAAGTATCAATAAATGAATTGATTAATGGAGGGTTGGGAATAGCTCACTCAGTCATTGATGGGATTCCTGACATGATACTCAGGCAGTGAGGAGGAAACAGCAAAGAAAGAAGCAAGAAAAAATAGAGTAACACTAGATCAGAATTAAAAACAATGACAACCTAGCAATTAAATTTTCTTTTACCATCTACCTAATAAAAAGTCAAATTGGTGGGTATAAGTGGGGAAGAAGAATGTTTTTGTCTCTTCCTACATTGACTGTCCTCATGCCATTGGTCTCTTTAGCAGAACTGTTCTACTCAGCTTCCGTGGAAGAAAACTTCTCACAGACCTGCACTAGCACAGCCAGCACATCTGGCCTGTGCTTGTGCAGTCTGCACTTACCATACCAGTTTATGTGTTTTTCCATTTTTGGACTCAGATGGGTATTAAACTCTTCAGGCATAATGAATGCAACAAGACCCAAAATGATGTATATTAGTAATTTGTGTTCAGCAATTTGGAAAGCTCAACTCCATGGAAAAACTGGAAATCCACTTAATTTGCAGCAAAGATTCCTTGCCTTGCTTAATGGTTTAGGATTATGGGAGAATTAAGCTGCAGAAGCATCTTTTATTATACTTTTGTTCTGCCCTTGTTTTCAAAAGATTCTGATTTATAACTGCTATATCAGAAAAACATTTTAACCAAATGTCTTGTTGGAAATTAATAGACCCAACTCTATCTGATGATTATTTCCTGTCCCATTGATCTAAAATTTAATAGTTTGAAATTTTGTGGTTTTTTTTTTGGATTCAGAGTCTTTGGTAATCATAGGTTAAGGATGACTGAAATAATTCCAAAAGGATTATGTTGAGGTAGTTGTAGAGAAGTGCATTTAAACTACTATGATATAAAACTGCAACGAAGTTAAAATTTTACCTGCAAAAATTTTGAATTTGTAAAATTACTTTTCTTTGGTAGCAAATGCTTACATTAAATAAAATCAGATTTTGACACTTTCATAAAAAGTAAGATTCTCTAATCATTTGAATAATTTCTCAAAATCATTGTGGAAAAAAAATAGATTACTCTCCCCTTCCAGCTAATGTGTTGATGGGTCACCACATTGTTGATGAATAATAATTTTTGATTCCAAAATATTTTTGTTCAAATGAAGGTGTCTTGGATTTTTAAAATAAAGTCTGTATCAAGAGAGTCAATAAGATGTGATGATTCCATGGTCTCCCACTGTGATCCTGTCACATCTCTTTCCTTTAGCTCTTTAGCTCCATATCTGTATAAAGAGGGTTGCCTGGGGAGAAGCAAGGATCTTTTTTTTTTTACTACAAATTTTTTGGTTCCATCTTTTGGAAAGGAAAAAATAATGTTCATTCCCCCCCCACACCCAATAAGACAATCATTGTGCACAATGCAAAGTGAGACACGTTGGTTGTGGGACACCCACCTGAGGCCTCTTCCCGTTGTTGTGACTTCTCTTCCTCCTGCTCTTGAACTGGTGCCTTCATGCTCTTTACAAGAAAGGATCTTACGAACATATTCAAGCTAAACTTAAAAAACAGGCAAAACTTTGTGCATCTCTCCCAAAGTATATTTACATTTTCAAATTTTTATTTAATAGAATTATCTTGTATTTGTAGAAATCCTAGGCATTAATAATTTGGGCAGGAGAGGCTCTAGGGGAGAGAGGGGATGACTTGTAGGGCTGTATTTTGCATGATTATCCTGAATTATGTTGATCACATCAATATGGGAGTCACTCCTTTGTCTGACCATTGCTATCCCCATCTTTCTTATCAACATTTATCTATTTTATATGTTTTTGTTTTTTTTTCCTTCAAATAAAATTTTTCATTTTTTCTCTGCTCTCCTTTGCAATGAGAAAAACACATTTTTAGGAATGGAGTTCCCTTAGATTACAGATATTTTCAAAGCTCTGGGACTATGTTCGATACTGTCTTCTCTTCCCCCATTCAATTTGCAATGACAAAAAATTTAAAGTTGTTATGACATTCTTTAGACTTTGTTATAAGTACTAAGAGCTCCTAAATATTTAATTTTAATGTAAATTGCATATCAAGATTAGATATGTATATTATTTATGGTGACATTTTAAAATAATTTTTTATTTAAGGATTTTGGGCACGTGAAGTGGGTAAGATGATTGGACTAGACCATCCTCTCATCCCGGTTCAGCATCAGTATGTTGTTACGTCAACTATACCTGAAGTGAAAGCTTTGAAACGAGAACTTCCTGTGCTGCGTGACCTGGAAGGATCATATTACCTCCGGCAGGAAAGGGATGGACTTTTGTTTGGTCCATATGAAAGTCAGGAAAAAATGAAAGTTCAGGACTCCTGGGTCACCAATGGAGTCCCTCCAGGTGGGTTTCGCAAATGGAAGTGTGTACAGGTCAGATACGTGGATTTTGTCCTCTCTCTGACCGGGCACTTTCTGTAGAATAAGATGACCCTGCTATACTAGACTATAGATATCCAGGACATTGATGGTGAGGGGTTTAAAGTAAGCACTATTCTCATTTTCCTTAGAACAGCAATAAGGAAAGAGAAAAGAGGCAGTTGATGGTAGGGAAGCTGAAAAAACATGTTTCTATGGCTTTGGAAGGCTCCAAGTAACTTTTTTGTGCCCACACCAAGTCCTACCTCTCACTTTTTCCTGCATTCCCCCAGATTTGGATATTGCTGCTACTGTGCTTTGATAGTTGGAAACAAGATTGGTATCAGAGACAGGATATCCAACCTGTTAAGGATGAAAGCCTCAGGATCTATAACAGAACACATGGGCTGGTACTGCAAAGGGAGAACCCCTGCCTCCTTCCAATATATGGTATATAAATGCATGTGGGAAGGTTCAGACCACTATGCTAAAAGCAAGAAGTACTATAGTTGCTCATTCAAGGTCTATGAGAAAGATGTATCTTTTTTGTTTTCAATGAAACATTTCTACAAAACCAGATTAAGGATAGAGGTCACATAAAAAGGTAACTCAAAATTTAACCTATAAAAGGAGCTGAAATATTAAAGGAAACCTAAAGAAATGGAGGAAATTGTGCCTTTCTAAAACTATACTATGATAAAGCTACTCCTCAAAGAACACATATGCCCAAGAAACAACAAATGATCACTAAACAGTCTTGCACAGAAGTTGGGCCAGTGAGCAGAGGGCTTTAGATTTACTGAGTGGGAGCTGCACATTTGGACTTGAGCAAAATGGTTCTAGCAGGAGGGTTGATCTGCCTTCTGGGAGCCTCCCTCTCTGTTCTTTCCCCACCATGGTACTCGAAACAAATATTTAAATAATTCCAGTTGGACAGAGACCAGATCTTTAGGTGGACCTGGGCACCCACAATTGCTTGTCTCACCCTGGTAGTCTGTGCAGGTGCCATCACACTGACCCAGCATAAGGTTCACAGGAGCTCCAAGAAGAAGCTGGCTGGCTGCTGTGTGGGAAAATCACCAGTATTGGTGGAGGTATTCTTTTAGAAACTTCTCTTGGACCTACCTTTATTTATAGTGCTTTTTATGAATGAGAAGATCATTGTACTCAAAGACCCTGACTCTTTTCACAGAATTCTAAGCCTTGGCTGTATGTGGGAGCCAGCTTGAGCCACACCATTTCTTCTCTGCTGAAAGGAGTATTAAAAATCGGTCTGGACTCCATTATCCTGGACCCTAGAATAGTTTCCATTCTTCCCAGTGTCCTGGCATGACTTTGTAAATTCCCATTTGCCCTCACCTGAGAGATGGAAACAGGCTTATATGTGAAGGATAAATACCTCTCCAAATGGTCAAGTATGTTTTTTAAAATTATGATTGGAGTAAATATTGGAAACAGTTAACTTTTAAGTTTAACTTTCATGATATTATTATTTCAACAAAAATAATACTATTATTTTTAGTAATGTTAATGGGTCACCATCTGTTAGTAGTGAACATCAAGTTTAGACTTAAAGAACAAAGAGGAAGTGCCATTCTAACAGGGCATCTTTAAATGTAAGCTGATTCAGAGAGTTAAATCACCTTGGAATACTTGGCAGTGCAGCTGTGGCCTCCCGACCACAATGGTGTGTCATTTCAGGTTTTGGAAAGGAACTCTTTGAGTCTGATCTAGACCGAATCATGGAACATGTTGAAGCTGCGATGGAAATGGTTCCAGTCTTGAAAAGAGCTGATATCATCAATATTGTCAATGGTCCTATCACTTATTCTCCTGACATTCTGCCTATGGTAGGGCCCCATCAGGGGGTCAGAAACTACTGGGTGGCTATCGGCTTTGGGTAAGTATCTCTGTGTATTCAGTATTTTGTTACAGAATCATGCATTATTAGATACATAAAAATGCCCGGGGGGGGGGGCAAAGAGTTTTCGCCTTTTCATTATAGTTGTAATACAAGAAATAAGAGTTTCAATGTTAAAACTCTGTATAATAGTTTAATACCTTATGTAGGTTTTAAAGATTCACATACAAAAGGGCAATGACTTCCATCAACTTTCTCTTTGAATATTCCTGCCATTTCCATTATTCATCTCTTTTTACACTTTGTTATGTTCAAATAGGTCAATTTGCCCCAATTTTACAAGGATGTTTTCACAACACAATGTGACAAGGATAATTCAGAATATCAAGTATATACTATATCTGATGCAGTATTCACCATAATTTATGTCTGTCCAACATGATTTCTTTCTTTATGATTCCTCAGTTTGCTTACTATTTATGATTCCATTATGCATTTGAAGTTTCATCTCTAATATTTGTCCCATTAATTTGGTGAATATGAATGTCAGGCCCACTTTACTATCATATCACAGCTTCTAATATTCTATTTTTCTTCTTCATTTTATTTGGCCATTTATTCAACTAATATTTAATGATTGCCAGCTCTGTGCAAGGCATAGTGCTAGGCAATGGGGTACAACTGAGAATAGACAGAGTGCTCTAACAGTAGGCACAAAGCTATCTTGAGTGCTGTTCTGCAATGCAGTAGCGGCTGGGCTCTGAATTAAGAAAGCAGCAATGGGGACCAAGAGCTAGGAGGTAAAATTATTTATATTTGGTGATTGACTGCATCAGATCTTGAGGAAAAGGAAAAAAAGGAAATGATGGTAAACTTTCTGATTTGACCACTAGTTAGATTCTGGGGCAGTGAGGAGAGAGAGCCAAGAAAATAATAAGTTTCTGTTTTTGATGGGTTGGGTTTGAAGTGTTAAATTTAGATCTGTGGGCCATTCAGAGGAAGAAAAGCAAATGAAGATATGGGGTTGGAAGGTATAATGTAACTGAGGGCTTAGATAATCACTTTAAGGTATGCACCTAAATCCGTAAGTAACAGGTACATAAGGAGTACTTCTCTTATATATTACTAGTATATCTTCTTTGGAGAAATGTTAATTTGTATCATTTGCAGATTTAAAAAAGTGATTGTCTTTTTATTGTTAAATTGTAGGAATTTTTTATATATTGTACCTATGAGAACCTAGTCAGATACATGATTTACAAAAAATTTCTCCCATTAAGTTCACTTTCTTGATGGTGCCCATTAAAGCAGAAAAGTTGTTAATTTTGATGAACTCCATTTTGTGTATTTTTTTCTTTTTTTTTTGCATATAGTTTTGGTGTCATATGTCAGAGGCCATCATTGAATCCAAGTTTATGAAAATTTACACCTATATTTTCTTCTACAACTTTTATAGTTTTAACTCTTACATTTAGGTCTTTGATCAGTTTGAGTTAATTTTTGTATATGGTATGAGGTAGTTGTTCAAATTCATGGTTTTAAGGGTAGCCAGTTTTCCCAGCACTATTTGTTGAAATGAATGTTCCTTCCTCATTGAATTGTGTTGGCATCTGTGATGTCTTTTTTGGATACTACTTCTGGACACTAGTATCCAGTTCCCAGACACAAACTGAGTGCCTAACAATTCAGTTCAATTCTGATGCTAACTCCCAGAGTTAGTGTAGACTCCACTGGTTAAGGACTCAGTCTTACAAAACTATCCCACTTCAGATATCAGTTGCAAATTCCAGAATCAGCTATACTTCTGACTGGCTAGGTATAAATTTCGGAGTTCTGAAAACCTCCTCAGATTCAATAATTCATTAGAATGACTCACAGAACTCAGAATTTCACAGAATTTTACCCATTTAAAGAATATAGCTAAGGGATAACCATAGAAGATAGGGTAAAGTATAGGGGGCAGAGGTGTGGTGCAGAACCTCCATGCCCACTCTGCTATATCACATTCATAGCATATAGATGGGTTCACTAATCTGAAAACTCTTTGTACTCTGGTATGTAGGTTTTTTTTGGGGGGGGGTTCACTACAAAGCACCATTGATTAAATCATTCTCCATTGATGATTGAACTTCTGGTGACCAGTGCCTATCCTGAAACTTATGTAGTCTCCCCAATTCCCCTCTTAAACTCTCATTAGCTTATAAAAGACTCCACATCCCAATGGCTTTAGGATCTCTGTGTTAAGAACTGGGGACAGGGCCTCCCCCGTGGCGCAGCGGTTGAGCGCTGCGTTGTGAATCTGCCTCTGCGGTGACGGTTTGATCCCGCCCACAGCTCCCCTCAGCAGTGTATTTGATACCCGGCCACCAGGCGAGGGTCGCACATGGCGTGCAGACCTCTCCTGCTGCCCGCTGCTCCCCTCAGCAGTGTATTTCATCAGTCTGCCTTCTCTGCTCTCCCCTCTAGCTCTGGTGAATTCTCTCACCCTCCCGAGCTTCTGACTGTATCCAGTGCTTGTACAAATAAATAAATAAATCTTTAAAAAAACAAAACAAAACTGGGGACAAACAGCAAATTTCATTTTTTTATTATAATATAGCATCCTCATCAAAAATTAACTGACCATATGTATATGGTTTTATATCTCATCTCTCAATACTATCCCATAGATAGCTAGATAATGGCTATCCTTATGCTAGTGTCACACTGTTTTGATTACTGTAGCTTTGTAGTAAATTCTGAAATTGGTAAGTGTGACTTATCCAACTTTGTTCAAGATCATTTCGACTATTCTTGGTTCCTTAAATTTACATGTAAATTTTTCAGTTTCTGCAAGAAAGACTGCTGGGATTTTGATAGTGATTATATTAAATCTACAGATTGATTTGGGGACAATTGACATCTCAACAGTATTAAATCTTGATTCAAGAATGTGGGGTATATTTCCATTTATTTAGGTCCTTTAAGATTTCTTTCAACGATTTGTAATTTTCAGAGTATAAGCTTTGTACTTCTTTTGCTAAATTTATTCCTATGTTATTGTTTTTGATTCTGCAATTGACTTAATCACAGAATTATCAATTTAGTCAATAAATGTTTTCATGTTATTGACCAGAGCCATTCTCCGAACTGTGAACACCCAGACATTATCCCTGGTCTTATGCTGTTTAATTTGATAGAACTCCTATTACTGTTGCTAAGGAAATAAGGAGTTAGTTTCTTTAGAACATCTTATTTAATTACTTAGAAATTGTATGTTCTTTCATGTGCTGATGTTAGACCCCTGCTCTGATTGCTGTGGGTAATTTTCACAGGTTATAAACATTGGTAGGTGAATGGGGAAGATAACAGGTAGGGGCAAAGAGTCTCACTCTTAATATACCAAGTTAGGATCTTTAAAGTGCTAACTTCCTATGGTGCAGAAAGTTTTCACTTATGACTCAAGCAAAATGTGTATAATCACAGTATGAATTTATTGGTAGGAACCCCCAAACTAACAATATAAGCATACAATTTAATTGGCAGTTAAAGGGGAAAGGCTATGAATTTCTTGCATGCTTGGGAGATCGGTGAGGCAGAGCAGATGGGACCTGGACCAGAAGGTTCCTGGCAACTGTCCATTGACAAATTGTGGAATACCACTCCTCATAGTAAAAAGTCCCTGGTGGTTTTCACCAAAATCTGGAGACGGCTTTAGGACCATGGGGATTGGAGTCCATAATTATCTCAGCTTGGCTTAAATGTGATGCCTACATATATGAATTTTCAGATAGAAAACAAGCCTGCTTACCCCCTCAAGTGATCAGTTAGTTACAAAATACAGGAGCTAGTATTTCCTTCTACCTTTCACCACAAGTCCCTGGGTGACTTCCTGGCCCAATTTTATTGCAGAGGTCATTGCCTAAGTGCACCTGAACTAAATTGAGTCTGAGAAAAATATGGGCATGATATTTTATACTGTACATGTTTTTCCTACAAACATTCCTATTAGTCAATAAACAGCTCAAGAGATCTGACAAAGTACCAACCACATCTTTCTATTTTCTTCCTTTCCCATTTTCCTTATGTGAGTAGTTACTATCTAAGAGTAGTAGACTGTTTTGCACATATGCATGTCTTGAAACAGTGGAAACCAGCTATCTGACCAGACACATTTAATTTGGATGCCAAAACATGTACTTTGGAGGGAAAAAAAATCATATCATAAAGATTACATTAAATGTATGTTCTGAATAACACAGAATACTCTCCAATTTTAAGTTCTGTAAAATATTTGGGCATGTTTCATTATTTAAAGACAACATGTATTGATAACAAAATCTTTATCTCCATATTTGAAAGATATGGCATAATCCATGCTGGTGGAGTAGGGAAATATCTTAGTGACTGGATTTTGCATGGTGAGCCTCCTTTTGATCTGATAGAATTGGATCCCAATCGCTATGGCAAGTGGACAACAACCAAGTACACTGAGGCCAAAGCAAGAGAATCATATGGATTCAACAATATTGGTAAAGTTCAAATTTTCTGTTATTTACACAGAATTGACTGCAGTAGCTCTGACTATAAATGCTTTTTAATCTGTTCATTATGATGGTAGTGGTTAGGGACTCTAAAAAGTATGGTACCTCTAAGAATAAACAAGAATGTATACAAACATATGTGTGGTGTACAGCAGTGATTTTAAATTTTATATGTATTTTTACTTTACCCTTTGATAATATTTTTGGCAGCCTTTTAAACATATATATATATATATATATATATATATATATATATAATCCAGAATCCATATGTATGTGTGTGTGTGTGTGTGTGTGTGTGTGTGTGTGTGTAGATAGATATATGGTTATGCTTCTGGATTTTCTGGATTTTAAGTACTGTGTTTTCCATTTTTCTGACTTCCTTCAAAGTATCTTTGGTTACATACTATTTAGAGTGCCCATTTTTCCTTTTCAGTTGGTTATCCTAAAGAAGAACGTTTTGCTGGGAGGCCGACTCAGCGAGTCAGTGGGCTTTATAAAACCCTGGCGTCTAAGTGTTCCATGGGATTCCATGCAGGCTGGGAGCAGCCCCACTGGTTCTATAGACCAGGCCAGGATTCTCAATACAGGTCAGTGAATAATTTAACCTACCTGTGGCTATGACTGTATGATGACATTTTGGAGATGGAATGGAAGGACATCAGCAGAGTTCTGTTTCCCCTTCCCATCCCGTACACCACTCCATGCCAAGGAGTATTGAACTTTTTCTTAAAAAAATGATTTTTGGCAGTAGAAATATTAATCTAGCCCACATGACTTTGGCCCACATCTAGGATTCATGTGACCTTAAAAGTGTCACAACCATTCTGGGTGAAATCTCCACTTGGCATTTTTCAGGAGTTCCAAGAAATCTTCTCCACTACATCCCAACCTCCACATGGTTTCACTTGGCTCCTAAAAGTTGTCATGGTTTAGATTGTTTGGTCAAATCACATAGTATCTTATCACAAAATGGAAAGTACTTGGAAGGTTTGGATTTTCTATTTATTAAGGAGTAACTCAAAGCAACTGCTTTCTAGTGTATATGCATTGAGTCTTGCAGACTATATGCACTGTTGATGAATTAGGGGAAATGATCATTTATTTAGCACTTTAGGGTTAGCTAAAACATAAAGCACGCCACCAACACAATTCTCTGAACTCATCTAAAGTGCTACGTGGCATTGTTATACTTAGCACTCATTGTGATGTTTTTTCCTCATAAGGATCTATAAACCTAGAGAAAGCAAAGAGCAAACCCAAGAACTAAATGACTTCTTTTTTGATTTGTCATTTTTCTTATTTAAACAGGTTTTGATATCTACTTTAACAGAAAATCCAAGTGATAAAAAGTACAATGGAGGACTAATTGTTGATGAGTGAATTTGGTCTATATAGGCAGCCAGTCTAGATTATCTGGGGCAAAATAAGGGTGTGGGTTTTCCTAAAAAACAGAGATATCTATTCTTCACCTTGTGCTATTTAGATTTAACTGTTTATTCTATCATTTTAATAACAAATCTACTGAAAACTCATTAGCATCCTGCTCTGAAGTTAAAAGACCATGTGAGAAGCCTCATAAAATAGAAAGGACTTGCATAATGTGTCAGGAGACCTTTGTTCCAGCCCAGTTCTATAATACAGAGGCCTTAGATGTCACTGTGACTTTTCTCTAAAAAATGAAGGCAATGAGCCAGGTCTTCCCTTGCTCCAGGAATGTATCAAAAACTTGAGCATCACCTGGGAGTCTGCTAAAATGAGGACTCTCAGGCCCAGCTCCAGATCTGCTGCATCAGAACCTGTATTTTAACAAGTGCAAGTGATTTTATTTGCATTAATGTTTAAGAAGCACTGGACATGATAGCTGCACCCCCATATATTCTGATTTAGTTAGATTAAAAAAATATTTTCAGAATGCTTCCAGGTGATTCCAGGATGCAACCAAGGTTTAAAACCACAGGACTGGTTAACTTCAAAACTCTCTTCTAGATCTGAGAGCCCACATGTGCTATCTTTTTTTTCTAGTTAATTAATACTTCATTAACTATGAAATGGGGTGGGGGGGGATAGATGAGTAACTTAAAAAAAATCAAGATTCCAACATATATGTATGATTTGCAGAACAGAATTTTAGATTGCATTTTTTTCCCAAAAAGGATTTTCTAGATGAATAGAATGTGTTAAAATATCCTCCTTCTGTAATTTTCTGCAAATGAATGAAAGTTGTTGTGTGACACCAAGCATTGTGTTTCAGACCAAGTTTTCGCCGCACAAACTGGTTTGAGCCTGTGGGCTCTGAGTATAAACAGGTTATGCAAAAAGTAGGGGTGATTGACCTGTCACCCTTTGGCAAGTTTAACATCAAAGGCCAAGACTCCACTAGATTGTTGGACCATCTCTTTGCAAATGTCATTCCAAAGGTAAATAACCTTATAGAGGTTCAAGGTCCAAGATTCTGGCCTGCTTAATTCTGCTTCCTCTGATTGAAAAAAATGTTATTTCAGTCCATCTAATGATTTCTGTTTAAAGAGTATACACTTCAACTGAGTAAGACTATACAACATAATTTTAAAATTTAAATTTTTGTTGAATGAATTATCATCAAATGACATTGTGACTTTGCTAAATTGTAAATAGGAACTGTAAGATTTAAATATAATTTTTATTATAAGTAATTATAATGATCACTTAAATTGAGAACTTCAAAATTAATCTTGGGTTTAATTTTATAGGTAGTTCACACAATTGATATAAATGATAAGGTCCAGATGCTTTTTACTATTAACACCCATATTTTAATTTACTTTAAAAGGATACATGGATTTTTATTTCATCCTGTGATAGTTTTAAATTCTTTTATATAGGTGGGTTTTACAAATATAAGTCACATGTTAACGCAAAACGGTCGTGTGTATGCTGAGTTAACTGTTTCTCACCAGTCTCCTGGGGAGTTTTTATTAATTACTGGTTCTGGATCAGAACTTCATGATCTTAGGTAAGTGCATTGACTAATAAAGTTTCATACGGTTTATATACTGACTCCATCTTGCTTTAAGTTTTTATTTTATCGGTAAACTTAGCTTCTTTAATCTTATTGTTTCAAATATACTTCATGTCTTTTTTTAGGAATTATTTGAAGTGAGGGCCCTTACCTCACCAAAAGGAAATCCATCCATAGGGTTACTCACTCTAATAATACTAACTCCCATTTCTTGGGCATCATCAATGTGCCAGAACTCTTTTCCCACATTTTCTCAGATATAAGTACCATTTCCAGACAAGGAAACAGTAGTTTGGGTTAAAGTAACTTGCTCAGGCTAGTCTTGTTGATTCTGATGCCCACATCTGGTCCACTTCAGTAAGATGCCTGAGTTACTTTCTCCTTTTTCATGCTTTGTACTCTCTGGTGCAAAGCTGGATCCAAATCATTGACCTGTCAAGTCAAACCTTCACATGACGCTTTGTCTCTTCATCTACTATAAAATGCTGTTTTTAATTTTCCAAATAAATTTGGAGTGTTGTTTAAGAGAAGTCTTACTTTGACAGGTTCCTACTCTAGTTATGAAAAAATCCCCAAATTATACCCTTCAATTCAAGTGGTGTCAGGGGCCATCTATATAGCTTAGCTGTGTGTAAACCCAGATGATCGTCTTAATGCTAGACTTGCATTGCTCCAGGGACTGCTCAATAAATTTATAAACCAGTCCTATGATGGAGTTCCAACAACTCATCAAGACTTAGAAAAGGAAGCTAAACTTTAGAGCTTTTATCTTTTTCTTGTAATTGTCAAAGCAATTATGTGCCTGGGGGGGCATATCATTAATCTTTAGCAGCACAAGTGTGCCACCTATGTATAGGTATTAGACAAAATTTGGGTGACAATTAATTTTTGAAGAATGAACTATAGTTTAAATGCAGTACTGTCACTATTTAAAAGAGCTGTGTGGAAGAGTTGGTTTGAACTGAAGACGCCTTCTGTACTGTTAAAAATTACTCCCAAATTTATCATTGGGTGGGTTAAAGAGAATCATTTAACATCTCTGGGATTCAGTTTCCTTAACTTTAAATATGTTAGATGTTTAAATGAAATGACTAGACTGAGAGAATGTCTTCAGAGAAATAATGTTACCAACATGCCTTTTTGAAGCTTGATTTAACACAATATTTATAACCTAAATGCAGATGGATTGAAGAAGAGACAGCCAAAGGTGGATATGATGTTGAAATTAGAAATGTAACTGATGAGATTGGGGTTCTTGGAGTTGCAGGGCCATATGCAAGAAAGGTCCTGCAGAAACTGACCTCTGAAGATCTTAGTGATGATGTTTTCAAGTTCCTTCAAACCAAGTCTTTAAAGGTTTCCAATATTCCTGTCACTGCTATTAGGATATCTTATACAGGTAAGAATCAGAAAGCAACCCAGAATAAGTCTCTAAAGTTTTAAAGATGCTATCAGAAATTCAATTTTGTTAGTATAATTTTGGAGGGAGATTTCTCCTGCCCAATCCTTATGATAATTATGTCTATTCACTTCTAATCTGAGAGACATTACACAGATTTCCAATTGTTCCAGTCCTACAGCTGCCTACCATTTAGAAAGGTAAAGAAGAAAGTGGAGTAAGGATAGCTATTGGAAGAATATTCTGATGCTATCTGGGAATATTTGAGATGATCTCTCTTACATAGTGTCTCCCAGAGAGATTACCTTGAATATATCAGCCCTTTCTTTGAGCACTACCACTATCCATCTTTCCTTAAGTTTTCATATAACACTTAACCTTGAGCATTGCAGGTATTAGATACAGAGATAAATGAATACCCTCCTACTCCCCATTAGTGCTCTGGGCTCACTTCTAATTTTCTCTAGACTTCCCTTCCCTTGCATAGACGGAGTACTGGGTACCCAGGCTCTTGTTCAGCTCCATATGTCTCATATTAGGGACATGTGCTGGGAAAAAAATATCACCAGCAGCCCTCAACATTGGTACAAAGAGAACACACAGTATTAAAGACCAGAGCTCTTTCCTGAGACTCCATTCTACCTTTCCCCCGCCCATCCTTCACCTAACCTTAGCAAATTGGTAAACAAAATAGTACATAAACAGAATAATAACCAGACTGTTTGGGTTAAATTTCATTGTCTTTGGTATTGCCCACAGTTCTAATGGTGAATGAAATGACCAAGTGTGAAAAAAGTATGTGTGTGTGTGTGTGTGTGTGTGTGTGTTGGGGGGGGGAGCTGTAGAAACTTAATTATCCCACAATGAAGATAATTTGAATAAGTATCAGTTGACTTTATTTTATATATTTTTTAACCTTGTGATTTTTGGGCAAGGAGTTGGGGGTTAAGACATCTAAACTGTAAATCCCTTATCTTGATAAAGTGTGCTATGCCAATTACTTACTTAAGGTGCCAAATACTTTACTGAAGCTGTGGTCAAGGGTCAGGATTAACTTCTGCTTTACAGCCTTTCTGTATCATGGTAAGAGGTATCCTAGGTACTGCCCTCTGTTTGACAGGATTGAGTATAAATGTGTCTGTGATGTGTCAGGCTCCTTCTCAGTGGGGTTTGGTTGCAAATTTTTTTTTAAAAGATTTATTTATTTATTTATACAAGCACTGGGTACAGTCAGAAGCACTGGAGGGTAAGAGAATTCACTGGAGCCAGAGCGGGGAGCAGAGCAGAGCAGGCAGACTGACAAAATACTCTGCCAAGGGGAGCAGCGGGCGGCAGGAGAGGTCTGCGTGCCATGTGGGACCCTCTCCCCGTAGCTGGGGATGGAACCGGTGCTGCAGAGGCTATAGGCAGCTTCACAGCCCAGAGCTCAACCACTGCTCCACCTGGGAGGCCCTGGTTGCAAATTTTTGATGAACTGGTCTTTTAAAATTCCATGATGCCTATGTTGCATAAATGAAATCTGTTCATTTATTTTTGTGTTTTAGCTAATGCACGTTAGGCCTATTGATCATTGTCCTTACTCTGGTTTGTGGCAATTGTGGGTTTATTTCAGGTGAGCTGGGTTGGGAGCTGTACCACAGACGAGAAGATTCCGTGGCTCTTTATGATGCTATCATGAATGCTGGCCAGGAGGAGGGAATTGACAATTTTGGAACATATGCCATGAATGCTTTAAGACTGGAGAAAGCTTTCAGAGCCTGGGGGTCAGAGGTTTGCAATGCTAACACCTTCATTAAAACTTGATGTGTGTTGTAGGATTTTTATATAAGGGCTAGTATTAATTACATTGACATTGGCTCCAACTGTAAGAGTATTTATATACTATTAGATAACAATTTAATGGGGGGAAAGGTATTTCTCTTCTGTTTCATAGTTGAAAATTCAGTGGAATCCTGACATAACGTTTATTCTGCCCTAACTTCTCCTGCTTGGCCGAGAGCCCTGTACCATCTCTGACTAATGTGAAACTGGGACTGCTCCAAGGAAGCCTGTCCCCACAGGGTTTGAGGACCACCTTTCATAGTCTCTATTCCTCCTCTGACATGTTCTGTATTCCCATTTTCTTTTTACTGTGTACCTTTTGGGAAAAAGAAACAACAAAAGATATCTCTCTGAGATGATGGTCTAGGATGATGGGTTGATGGTCTAGGATGCATTTGTCCAACCTGCTCCTACCATTCGTAATGGAAACTAATGGTTCCTATTTGTATATTTACATACCATTTTCATATGACCAATTTCATTTACCTTCTCATCTCGCCCCGAAGAAGGTATCATTGGTGATTCTAGGGCAAGGAGTTGGGACTTCAGGTATTAATTATCCCTACTCTACAAACAATCAGATAAAGATTCGGTGAACAATTTGATCCAGATGAAGTATTCAAACTGGTTCAAATTCTGTTCCCCTACTTTATTTCCAATATGGCAGACTATCTCTGTACTCCTTAACTTTTTCAATTCGTGGAATTGCATTTATCCTCCACCACATACTAGCTCTGCGGCCTTAAACTTCTAGCGCCCCTGTTTACTTTTCTATAAAATGAAGATAATCTTTATCATACAGTCATTATAGATATTAGACATAGTTTGCAAAGTGCCTAGCACATAAAAGAATCAATTGGAAGGTAAAGTGGATTTGAAAGCACAGGCAGGGCCACTAGAGCATTTAGACTGGGCAGAGCACTTGGCTTGAGGTGGAGAGTACAGGCTTCTGGAGTCACTGAAAGCACAGGGACCTGGAACAAGTTAAGATGTTCTCTCAGGAGTTTCTCAGTGATATAATGGGGCCTTGGATGAGGCTGCTGCAGGGGGAGAATAGAGGACAACCGGTCCCACACTCTAAGGAGTGAAGCAACAGAGATAGCCCTTTGGGAGTGAGGCGTTTCTTCACCCTCTTACCTTTTATATTCTCATTCCTCCTCTCTAAGCACACCTCTTAAGAGCTTCTCTATATTCCATGTCCCTTGAATTTCCCAGCGGTGCCAGCACGCCCTCTAGTGTTAATATAGCAATCACAGTTTTCTGTGCATTGTTTTGATGTTTTTCTTAAGAGAAATTCTGAAACTGAGCAGAGAGAAAATAATTTTAGAATGGTTCAAATTGATTAGGAAATATGATAGCACATTTCACATCATGAAAATAAGTTTATATTATTTGGTTAATCTGATTTCTGTGTTGTGTTTTTTATTTTTTTTAATTTAGCTTCTTTTATGGGGTTTAGATCACTTTCCTTAGAGCAAAACAGAACAAGAAAATAAATGAAATGAACACACACCACTAACTTCATATATTGTCCTAAATAGTGGCTTTATCTCCTCCTTGAAGAATATTGTAATTATTCATACATATTTGAAGAGGTTGAGATTCGCCCTTAATATTTTCCTTTTCCTGGCTCTGTAGAACCCATTTTTCCTACCATCTGTTTTCTCTTCCTACTTATTGGCTAATTATAAGTAAACTACTTGATAAATTTTCTAACTGTAGTTATGTAAAATTCTTATATTAAACACATGGAAGTCTTCTTTCTGGAAGGAACATCATGTTGTGATACCCCTCAAATGTTTATTATAATAAAAGAGCCATGAAAACAAACTGTGAGTTTTAGCTTCTAATTTGCCAATCAGATAACAGTACTTTCTGAAAGGTAGTGATTGAATTTTAGAATAAAAAAATTATTTTAGAGACCAGTCCATGGTTTTTCTTTTTCCTACATTCAAAATCAAAGTGTTCTTTTCCCTAAAATAATACTAATAATAAAAAATGAAACTGATGTTACTGAAATGATTTGCACTCATCTAAGATTTAAAATGTGTGCTTCCATTTTAGATGAATTGTGATACAAATCCCTTGGAAGCTGGACTGGAATGTTTTGTAAAGCTAAATAAGGTATGTTTACATTCCAGAATGTGCTTGAGTAAGTCTTTGATGCTGTTTTGTGACAGTCAAGCTCTAAAACTTAATTGTGATTTTAGGACAAGTGAATTGAACATAAGACTAAGCACTTCAAAGTGTTTTATATTAAGATTTTGTCAAAATTTGATCTGTTCAAATGAACTATTGCAACCTGCTTGTAGATGTGAGATAGCAGGATACAAAACTTCAAAGGCTAAATCTATTTATCATTTTTTATTGTGTTGTGTTTTTTTTATTGAGGTAAAATTGTTTTGCAACACAGTATATAATTTAGAGGTGTAACATCACACTTGTTCAAATGTCTGTTACCACACCACACCCACCAGCATCATCCACCATAATCCATAACCCATCCACCATAACCCATCCCCTCTTCATTTTTCCCTCCACCCTTAACCCTCTGGCAGGTTCAAATCTACAGTCATATTTCTAGGGTTGTTTTGGTTTAAACTTATCTATTCTTTTGCTTTGTTTCTCTGTATTTGATGAGAGTGAAATGATCCAGTATTTGCCTTTCTCTTTGTGACTTTTTTCACTTAGCATAATCTTCTCTGCTACTATTCAACCTATCAAAAATGGCAAGATTTCATATTTTCTTTTAATAACGAAATAGTATTCCATTGTGTATATGTACTCCATCTTATTAATCCACTCATCTGCCTTTGGGTATTTAGGTTGTCTCCTTGGCTATAGGAAATAGTGCTGCTGTGAGTTAGTGTTTTGCATTCCTTGGGCAGATACTTAAAAGAGGGATTTGGGGACCATATTGTAGGTCCATTTTTAATATTTTGAAAAACCTCCATACTGTTCTGCCTAGGGGCTGGTTCAGTTTACATTCCCACCACCAGTGTATGAGGGTTCCTTTTTCTCTATCCACATCCTTGCCAACACTTACTGTTTCTGGTCTTTTTGATATGAGCCATTCTCATGGTGGGAGATGTGGTCTTGATTTGCATCTAATTGATTTGATTTGCATGTCATTATGGCTTTCATTTGCATTTCCTTGATGAGAAGTAATGGTGAGTACTTTGTCATGTGCATATTGGCCATCTGTATGTCTTCTTTGGAGGAGTGTCTATTTAGCTCTTCTTCCCAGTTTTTGATTGATTCTTTTCCTTTTGTTGATTTGTGTGAGTTCTTTGTAGATCTTGTATATTAGACCTTTGTTGGATGTATGCTATGCAAATATTTCTCCCATTTGGTGGGTGTAAAGACTAAGTCTAAATTTTAAGATAAAAATTAGTAAAGATAAAGGGCCCCCTGGTGGTCCAAGGGGTTAAGAGGCAACCTATGAAGCTATCTGCAGCCACTGCAGCATGAGTTCAATCCCCAGCCAGGGAGCTAACCCACATGGAGCAGCAGACCTTTCCTAACTCACCCGCTGCTCCCCTCAGCAATGTATTTCAGTCAGTCTGCCTGTTCTATTCCTCACTCTGTCTCTGGCAAATCCTCTCACCCCCCTGCACCTCTGGCCTGTACCCCAGTTCTTGTATGCATAAATAAATAATCTTTGAAAAAATTTGTAAAGATAAGATGTCAGCAGATATTCTTGCAAATCCTGGTGGCTTGTGAAGTAACACATGACTAATAAACTACATTAAATAGACTCTCCCTGGGTACTCATAGCCTCAACTCAGCAGATCTATCCATCTGTTTATTAAGCGTCTCTGTATGTAGCTACAATTTCTGAGAATAAGTAAATGAAAACCAAACTCAGTTTAGAACTGTTTAATATATAATGATTTTATTTTTAGCAAAAATGGGATATTTTCTGAGAAGCCAATGCAAGTCCAAAGATTCTTAACTGATATTACCATTGCATAACAAACCCCCAGGTCAGTGGCTCTCAAAGCATGGTCTTCACTCAGTAGCATCAACATCAGCTGGGAGCTTGTCAGAAATGTGGATCCCACCTCAGATCCTACAGAAGACCTACTAAATCAGAGTCTCTAGGGGGCAGACCAAGAAATCTGGGTTTTAACAAGCTCTAGGGGATTCTAATGTACCTAAAGTTTGAGAAGTATCATCCTACATAATTATTGTGGAAAAGCATATTATGGGTCAATGTTTTACATTCCAGCTCATCTCTACAAATCCTACAAATATAAATGAAAATATCCCATTGTTATGGATTACATATTTATGTACCTCCACAAATCATATAGGGAGCCTCTATCCACCATATGATGGTATTTAGGGGGGCTTGGAAGATAATTAGGCTTCAGGGGAGTCATGAGGGTGAGCCCCCTAAGTTGGCATTAATGATTGATCATATGAGAAGAGGAAGAGACTTCTGTCCACCATGTGAGGATACAGCCAGAAGGTGATTATCTGCAAACTAGGAAGAGGTGACTCACAGGGGAAGCAAATTGCTGACTCCCTGATCTTGGAATTGACTTGAAAACTGTAGGAAATAAATTCCTATTGTTTAAACCACCCAATCTGTGGTATTTTCTTCTAGCAACCCCAGCTGACTCAAATACCCTTTGAGCTGTGCCTTAGTTCCTGTAAGAGAGCCTCATAGAATACAGTTAGTGGTTGTTTTGAGGGGTTGGGGCAGCAGCTGCTGCTACTTAGGATACTTGCTAGCATTACAAAAATAAAACTGTTCTGCCTTAGGTACTAATAAGCTTAAAGTAAAGGCTGTTTTCCCATCCTATGGAAATATGTGAACACATGAATATGAATTAGGCTAAGGAAACTTTAATGCCCCTGCATCAGTTCTCAAATTCTGAGCTAAGATATTAGCATAAACATGTATATTTATAATATTAGATTTTAGGAAAAAGTACCTCCTAAAGGGTTTTAAAGGGAATATCTTTCTGTACATTTTCCCCATGACTTTTATTTTTATGATGTGCCATCTGCCTCTAGATCAGAGAAAGCAGGTGCTTGGAATTGGACCAGACCCTAGCAACAGATTGCTCCTTCTGATAGCAGAAGTCTTAGTCTAGATGTTTAAAATAAGGATAAAAATGGCCTGACTCTTGGAAGCACTAAAGTTCTGTGGTTGGTTACTAACAGGTAAATAATCAACTCTTCTGCTTCAGTGTGTGGGTAATATTGTTTTGGGCTCATGGCATGGATAAATGATCTCTTGGAATTGAAATTGGATTTTTAAAACTCTCTTTATGATTATAAGCAGGTGTCGTTTGTGTGTTTATTAGTTTCTTTAATTTTTTTTCAATAACCAAAGCTCAAATCAGAGCTGTTTAATGATAATAATTTTGATATGTGGTATATTTTTTATGATTTCTGAATTGTTGATTCTCATTCTGGTGCTACAGAATTAATTTCTTATGTTTTGTTGGGTGAAGGCCTATGTAGCCCAAAGACCAGGACCTAACTAAGCCAGTCTTTTTCAATTATGTCAGTTCAGGTCGTTAGTGTGTATTAACCTAATCACAGTGATCCTTACTAATTTACAGGATGGGTGAATATGTTGTATCAACTTGGTTTAGATCCTAGTTGGTGGTTTTATGACTTTGTCCTGGTTTCGTAGAAGTCAGAAGAACTTACTAACATTATAAAATAAACTATGTAACTTGATATTTCAGGTACTGTGCCTAAAAACCAAAATGTTACCCAAGCTGGCTGGGTACTTGTATAAAATATTGGGAACTTGTATAAATATTGGGTCCTTGTATAAATATTTTATACAAGTACATAATGCAAGTCCATATTACTTAAAAAAATGATCCTATATGAAAACCAAAGAAGCAGCAACTAATACAGAGGAATATTTATAATCAATACCAATTTTTTAAAATCCTGACATTTTACACTCATTTATAATCAATTCTTGTCTTTCTTTCTCTTCAAAACAAATATGTAGAATTCCCTGATTGGCCCATAAATGTTAACATAGTGATTGTATAACTTCAACATGAAGAAATGGAGATGCAGGATGTTTGGAGCGAGGGATGCCTTTAGAGAAGGCTCAGTACCACCCCATTACTTAAGAGAGGGGAAATTGGTGTGGAGAGGTAAAGTAACCCTACTGCAGTCATTGATGACATCCAGGTTGAACTCTGACCTCACTCTTGCACTTCCTAACCCATCATGCTCTTCTTCCCATCATGGGCTCATCAGCCTTGAAAACCACCCAGGAATTTCTCTCCGTGGTAATAGATAATAGAATTTACACAGACTACATTTTATAACTGACAGCTCCCACGGTCATAGTTTAGTTATAACTGATAACTGTTTATATTTTATGATAGGGTCATAATAACTGTCCATCTTAAGTAGGAAGATAGGTAGGTGAGGAGATGGACAGTCAATTGCCTTGTCAAAACCAGTACAAAAAGTAGGGAAAAGAAAAATGGCATGTTGAAGAAATTGTAGGTGGCAAAGGAGGATGGTGTGATGGCACTTGCCTTCCTTACCTCTTCGAGTTGTTTGCGCTTCAGCCCCCAACCCCATCATGGCATTGGCATATGTGAAGACATACACAATTGTGTGTGCACACATTCATTCCTCTAGTCAACATTTCTTAGACACCTTTCTAGGTCACAGATATCAAAGTTGCAGATATAACTCCTTATAGCTCTCAGCTCTCATGAAGCTTGAAATAAATGGCACTTCGGGATCTAAAGCTGTAGAATACATTCCCCCCCCCAATTATGTTTATTGAGTAGTTTATAAGTAGGCTTATATCATTATGTATGCTTTGGGGGTTATAAGTTCAAACTGCTACCAGTGTTTATTTTCACACCATGCCCACCACTAATGACCCAAAAATCCTCCACCATGTTCCATTGGGTCCCCTCACTCCCCCAACCTAGGATACATTCTTAAATTTAATTCTGAAAATATATTCAGCCTGAGGAGGGCTGTCTAGAAGCATGCAACAGTGCCAGCTTGTGGAGAGAGTTTGTAGGGCGCTGACAGGAAGTGTTAATCAGAACTGTGATACAGGTGAAAATACTGAAATACACTTTCAAATCTCCTTAATTAAACTCTTTTTACCT